TTTTACTTGCTCCCTCTTTCAGCCCCTTGAGATATGGAACTGGTGACTTTATCCTGCACCTCCTTAAAGCCTTGGATATCCCAAAGGGACATAAGGTTGCGATTTCTAAAATCTCATGCCTTCAATGGACCTATCCTTGACCATCAGTCGCACATTCGCAACGCAACTTTCATGAAGCGCGCCAACTGTGGTACTGATTCAAACCATCTACATTCATATCTTATAAATTATCAACCCAGCTATGTAATTTATTACAGTGTATATTGTATCATTTGTATCAATTTGATCTTGCCTGTAAACTGGCATGCCTCATGTAACAAACTGTTATTTGAGAATAAATTATTATTATTATTATTAATATTATCTGAAGATTTAGTTACTTCACTAGTGCAGTTGATAGTACATAAATTTGTTATCTTATTATCTAATCTATGTTCGCATTTTAGGCTGCTAATATGATAAACCAATCCATAAACCCAAATACGATTAGTAACAACGACTATGATGGGTTTATTGATAAATCAGAGAGAAAGATTAGTTCAGCGAAGAGTTCTCTTTTCGGCGAATTCATTTTCAAAGCTGTACAATCGCAAATATATATACTTATTTTTACAGGGTGATAATAATACCGATAATAAACTTATGCTATACATGGTGACAGTGAGGTTAAATAAACAAAGGTATTAGAAAAATTTTTAAAACAAGGAAAGTTTGATAGTTAATGACTTAGATATTCATCAGGTAAGGGTCGCTCAGCATGATAAAATAACATAAACTGTTGAAACAGAGATGAAATGTAATCGGAATGATCGTGGAAATAAAAACAAACCGGTTGGGGGTACAAGATTTGAAGGGAAGATGGAAGGTGAAGCAGGTGGCTGTAAAAGAACAAGAGTATGAAGAAAGAGAAAAAATTTCAATACATTAAGACCATGGTAAAAGAAGAGGTTGTACCAGTCTCTTTTGTACACATAATTCTGGTTTTTCAAAATGCATGGCTAATGCCTCGGCAATGCAAAGAAGATGCAGTCTAATTGTCTTAGGAAGGCTTCTACTTACCTTGTAGATGACTTTGAACGCAGAGTCTATCTTGATTGAGTGACCTGTGTTTACAAGGTGTTCGATTATAGAACTTCTTATTGAGTCGCTGCCTCCTCTTCTTAGCCACGCCGGACAATGTTCTTGAATTGTTTTGGATAAAGTACGCATCGAATAACCTATATACCTAGCTCCACAAGAGCAGGTAAATTGGTAAATGCACATTGAGTCGGTCAGATGCGATAATTTATCTTTCAGATTATTGGTGAACAGTGATCGGCTGGAGAATAATATTTGCAATGTTGCTGCGAGGAATGTTCTTTTTAAAGATTCAGAAATTCTCCTCTTTGGGATACATTTGTTATCACAAATGATAAAGATATCATCCACATACCTTTTATGTAAGTGGAGGTTTTCTATAATTCTTTAAAAATTCTTTAAAAAGAACATTCCTCGCAGCAACATTGCAAATATTATTCTCCAGCCGATCACTGTTCACCAATAATCTGAAAGATAAATTATCGCATCTGACCGACTCAATGTGCATTTACCAATTTACCTGCTCTTGTGGAGCTAGGTATATAGGTTATTCGATGCGTACTTTATCCAAAACAATTCAAGAACATTGTCCGGCGTGGCTAAGAAGAGGAGGCAGCGACTCAATAAGAAGTTCTATAATCGAACACCTTGTAAACACAGGTCACTCAATCAAGATAGACTCTGCGTTCAAAGTCATCTACAAGGTAAGTAGAAGCCTTCCTAAGACAATTAGACTGCATCTTCTTTGCATTGCCGAGGCATTAGCCATGCATTTTGAAAAACCAGAATTATGTGTACAAAAGAGACTGGTACAACCTCTTCTTTTACCATGGTCTTAATGTATTGAAATTTTTTCTCTTTCTTCATACTCTTGTTCTTTTACAGCCACCTGCTTCACCTTCCATCTTCCCTTCAAATCTTGTACCCCCAACCGGTTTGTTTTTATTTCCACGATCATTCCGATTACATTTCATCTCTGTTTCAACAGTTTATGTTATTTTATCATGCTGAGCGACCCTTACCTGATGAATATCTAAGTCATTAACTATCAAACTTTCCTTGTTTTAAAATTTTTTCTAATACCTTTGTTTATTTAACCTCACTGTCACCATGTATAGCATAAGTTTATTATCGGTATTATTATCACCCTGTAAAAATAAGTATATATATTTGCGATTGTACAGCTTTGAAAATGAATTCGCCGAAAAGAGAACTCTTCGCTGAACTAATCTTTCTTTCTTTTTTAATGTCATAATGGGTGTATTCCGTTTATTGATAAATGTTAAAGGCTGTTCAGGTGAGTTCTAAATTTAGAAGTAATGAAGATGTAGTGTAACGTATGTACGGGCCAGGTTAACATGCAGGTTGTTGACCTATATGACATTTTAAAAATACAGAACATGACCAGAAAAATAATTTTGAAGTTAAGACTGCTTGTGAAACTTCAGGCAGGAATATGACGCGTTATAAACATTCAATTAGAAGTTACTGCATTTAGCCTAGGAGCACTTACAAATATGTGGCAAAAGCAACTGTTAAAAAATATACATGTTAAGTACAAAAAAATCATTGAGTAAAATAGTTGAACTTACATAAAGATCCTCATATAAGACACGGAGTACATTAACCCAATTACAGCAAAATGGGAAACTTAGGAAGGCTTGGAATCTTTCACGTACCTAGTCAAAATCATTGCTGAACAAGAAGGATATGATGCTGATGTAAAGGTAAGGATTAGCAACGCAACGGCCGTGTTCTTAAAATTGGAGAATATATGGAACTCAAAACAATTGTCATCCAATATCAAAGTCAAAATCTTTAATACGAAGGTCAACACATTTTTATTGTATGGAGAGAAAAATCTTGGAGGGCTACTAAAACCCTCGTCAAAGTGTACAAATATTCCTTATCAACTGTCTACTTAAGGTACGCAATGTCCGTTGGGCGGATATCATAAGTGCTACCCTTCTATTGCAGAAAGAAAACCAGCTTCCAGCTGAAGACTACTAAAATAGTGATCTCTGGACAGAGTTGGTTGTAGGATTGCGGTCATTGTTCATTGCTCCTCCATGAGGAGCGACAGGCCTATGTGTGTAATTTGGTATTTATTTAAGTCCTCGAATCATCATAACGCAGCGAAATTCGAGTGTCAGCTAAGTGTCAGTCTTCAGTCGTAAGAATATACGTCTAAAGATTATTTTTCCGGCACTCCAGTTTTCCTCAGAAATCAGTTTATAAGTTTAGAGCGAATTCTGATGACTTACGACAAATCACATAAATAGTTTAAGGGCCACTTAACCAGATACCCTCTACTGTCAGTTAAATTGATTTTTAGGTACAAGAATAGATAGCCAATTCCGTCGGCTGCCCTACAGAAAACTCAGATTTACATATACTCATGATAGTTGTGTTGAATTTGAAGGGTCTAGATGTTTTAGGGAGTAAGTACATGACTTACGTGGGAGAAAACCAAGTACATCATAACGCATAGATTTATCAGTCAGATTACTGTCGAGGGATTAGTTTATATCTGATTCCGTGACCTCTATCATACAGAGCAAGGGGATGATTTGATTTTAAAAAACTGAAGACCAACAGTAGTTAGACCAATGTTGGAATGGATGGTATGGCAATCAGTATACAAAGGTGTGTCAGAGCGTGAGAGATTGTATTGGAACTTCATGTACTATTGAGGAGAACTGGTCCAGAATATTCAGCGTGGTACGTACTGTCTTTCATAAATCCATAAAAAAGCTTATTGTTAATTAAGCAGATTATAGGCTCTACATAGGCTTTAACAGAAGACAAATTCGACTTGTGACTTACTTATCGAGATACTTACAGATAGGAAAGTATGGTCACTTCATTCAAGATGATACAAGATTACTTATTTGGAACCTTATGGTGTTGAAAAAGTATTTCAGCCTGGAGGCTCATCCACTGAACTTCTCAGCGGGTACGTTGGGCTATAATTTTAAACACGTTGTATAAGATTGCTAAATCTACTCAATAGTAATATCTGAGAGGAACGGTGATAAGCTTGTAATAGGCGTCGAGTCGCAATTGACTATGAACACTACCACAGGAAGATTGCGTGCCAGATTTTTGATTTAATCCTTTCGTAGGCCAGAAACCTGAAGGCCGTTGATGGTTGTAATAAGATATATTTGTTGTCAATCCTGTGGTGTCGAAAGAATACCGAGATTGTGACAAAGTTCACAAGCAGAACTACTGAACGTACGCGAGTGCGTGCAAAGTCACAGTCAACGGAAGAAGGTATGTACTTGGTGCACATAAACAAACAAGTACGGTAAAACAATCACTGGTACAGATGGCTATAATAATAATTGTTTCCATTATACCAATCGCGTTCTCTTCATAAAAGTGGGTCACCACGAAATAAAGCAGTAGAATTTAATTTACTAACTGCCAGTTCACAGGACTATGCAATTTGTCTCCTATTAACCGTGAATGAACCAATATACCATTCAGAGAGAAGCCAATAAGTGCACTTGAAGGCATTACATTCTGTAATTCAAACCGAGCATTGAATAATGTGCAAAAATTTGTCGTTATAACTCCTCAGATAGCTTGAATAAATGAATTACTTATGGACAGTGATACTGCAGGTAGTTGGTAAAGTACAACTGTTGGATAGAAGATATGATCATCCTTGAAAACAAAACATGTGATGTTTAGGTGACTAATCATGAACGAGGAAAATCCATAATTTGTGAGAGGTGGACGAGCTATGCATGACTCCATTGTGTTAGAATGTATTTTAACATTTGAAATTGCATAACAAAATCTGTACTTAATGAATTCCATCGTAGTCTATAGGAACTTTCAATCTTCTACTTTAGCCACTTATCGATAAAGTTTATTGAACAAACTTATTGATGCAGTTTAAGTTTGGTTACGACGGCAACAGATAAAACCGCACTATGTAAGCTCACACACATAAAAATGATGACCTTACTAATTGAAATAACTGTCAGATCGTTTATTTTCTCACCGGACAATGTGTTCCACCAGGTTGGGACAAGTGAAATATTACTATAAATCATAAAGAATAGAACACAATATCCCAATTTCAGGGAAGACGCTATAAAAAATATTGGGGTTTTGGTGACATTTCCCCAAAGTTTCCCCAGAACCCAATTACATTTAAGTGTAAACCGTCTTTATTTATTGATAAAACCTCAAAATGTTTCGTAATTCTGGGGAATTTTCCGTTTCTTCACAATATTTCACTGAAACTTTGTGGATTTCTCTAATATCCACCCAGAATCTTATTACACTTTTGGGAAATTTTAATTCATTTTATGATAAAACCCTAAAATCTTCGATAATTTTGAGTACATTCTCAAAATGTAACGTGGTAACGTAATATTTCTACACAATTTTCGGTAGATATCACTGAAAATCCTGGATATCTCATAATTAATACCCAAAATGTTGTACTCATGCATTCCATTTTTTTCCTGTCAACTTTGTACAGTAAACGCATGCATTACCAAAGCATTTAAACTAAAATTGTTTACGAGAACCGATCTATCGCCGTAATTAAAAGAATGATTCGTCACAAAATTTAAAGTTCATTAAAATTGAATAAAATACAAATCATTCAGTAATAGATAACGCATTTCAGTTTCTTATAACCGATCGTGTTTTTTCGGAGGAATACGTTAGGTAGACGTTGAACTTTCATTCACAATATTCTACAAAAAGAAAAGAAGTAAGTTTTTAGCAAATAAACAACTGTTGTGGCAATCATTCAACTCACGGATCCTGAATGTTATGTAAAAGGTTGATGGCGAACCAACAGCATAACAATATTGTATTCTGAGTAAAAAACTTACAGTTTCGTCTGTTAACCTTTGCGAAGCCAGCTGAAACTAATATGGACATGAAAAAATTATTTCAGTATAAATCTTTATCAGAAGCTAATATACAAACAGAAACCGGTATTTAATAGCAGATCTAAAGTGCATTTAGCTCAGTAACGTCTCGAAACATGTTTTGTCCTGCTTATTTGGTAACTGGGTCATGAACAGTCTCGAAACGTGGATATAAGTTTCATACAACCTATGAAGAGGTTGAGAGATTATAGTAAACGTAAACTCAGTTGGGATTCTAAAATATTTCGGAAATACTAAAGGTTTAACCTTCCGTAATTTCAGCATTTTTCTTTAAACGGTTTAGATTCACACTCTTTTGAAACAACAGGTAAAACCGTATTGTATATGCTCAGCTGATTCATCGACAGTGTGTTCAACACAAAAGAAGGAAGCTTTGCTATTTTTGGGGAGGTTATGTTAATAACAGTTTTCATTAACATAGTTGTCATCAAACAGTAACGTGTAAAGTGAAGGTAAATATTCGTTTGGATATTAGTTTTAATTTTTAATTCTAAATATATTTTGTCAGTTCTAAAGCAACCATATGGTTCCTTCTTTATGACTCAGCATATCTGTAAGCTGTAGGTATTAGTTCAGTTTATACCGTAAGTTCATAATTAATAGCATAAATGAATCAAAATTTAGGCTGGGATCTTTATGAACTATCATAAAGCAATTTCACACTGTCACAATGCAATGTAAGTCTCCAGCAACTCAAACGTTCTTCACTTAAAAATTCCTCACTCCATTGTAACACAAAACAATGAGGCGTTATTACTAGGCTGCCGTTTACTGATTATTCTTTCTGGCACCTAGAAATATTACAATTTCTTTTATTTATTGCACAGCGTTTTAGCTTTAAAAATATGATACACATCTGTAAAATCAAATCAGTCCTTTGATGAATTCTTTGGTGACCACGATATAAATCTTAAAACAAGTTCTCAGTTCGTTTAATTTGATATTAAGGAACTAGCAAAGTGGAATAACAGTATAGAATCTGCTTCTAAAATAATGTAAACTTAGAAGCAACTCATATTTGAGCAAAGAAAATAGGTAATTTTACTGCCCTGGTACGATCGAGAGTGAGGAGTGTCGGCTCTCTCTTTCTCTAAATGCTCTCACGTGTCCATGTACATCCATCCACTGCCAGGGAAGTCCTAATCACTGCCTTCTCGTGGCAAAGCTGTTGTTTATGAAATTAGGAGGACGGAAAGCGAATGTTCAGTGCTTCAATCGGGTTAGTGGACACAGAGAGTCCATCTAGGGGAGTTGGAAAACCATGGTTACAAACTAATATGTGCACGTGGGCGCCAGGATCCTGAAGAAACAAATGGCGTATGAGCCATCCATGGGACTACATCTCCTGACGTTGCTCCGTTGCCAGGTGGATTGAACCTGTGAATGTGACTCCCTAAAAAAGCCATCTACTTCCGTTTGGGCACCCGGGCAGTATCCTAGCCCTCACACAAATCGAATGATTTATGTGGTGCATATTTATCTGTTGCCTTCTTGTACCAATGTTTATGTGTTTAAATGAAATAATAAAATAAAAACAACAATATGTATCATGATAACGATTTGTGAACTTGAAATAAGATAACAAAATACTAATAATCCCAATAAGTCTGGAGCTTCGACAAGACACAAACAAGAACTCAGATTTGATGTACGTAGGATGGAATTGTTTTGTACGGTTGTGGTAGATTTGAATGCAACATAAAACATTTGATTTTACAGTAAATGTATTGGTTATTCACCTCAAGATGGCTAGTTTTTTGTTTAATTATTTGATTTATTCAATTCAAAATGGCATTCTTAATTTCAAACGCTATTTACTAGTTATGCAGGTAAGTTTCAAGTAAAAGTTGTTAAATTTATCGTAATAATTGCACCAACTTAAAATGACTCCGAAAATTTGCTGAAAAAATGTCTTTAAAGAAGTTTATGATTATGAATTTGTATCGCTCATACAATTACTGGGATCTTATTTTTGTTTTGTTTTTGTCAGACAAAGCCATTCCTTTCAGAACGTAAAATGTAAAAAATGTTTGAATGGCATGTCATTAGTCATGTATTATGCCAGCGTTTTATTTAAAAATAATTTTAGTAATCATTTCTTTTTTGAGATACATTTTAAAGATCCACTTTCATTTTCCAATCAAAATTTCGGTTGACCAAACATCGGAATCCAGTTATCGTCTTTCTCAAAAGCTTTTTTGATTCATTATTTACACATAAAGTTAGCTAAGTAACATAGTGTACTGATAACTACACATATGAAATGATGAAATACGATGATGAAGAATTTTTAAAAGGGAGTTTTCACCTGCTCTTCCAAAATTATTTGAAGACAAATGAAGAGGAAAAACACAAAATGTTCCATCTATTTAGACAGACACCAATCGATGTATTATCTATGGAATGGCTGATATCAGAACCATGTACTATCGAAGCAAGAGCTTATCTAATTGATAATATTTTGCCTCAAGTTGTTTTGGGTTTAGAATTTATCTTAAAAGAAGCAACTCGAAGAAATCTAATCACACGCGACCTACTGGATGAAACAAATTATCGAGCAGGATTAGACAGAAATTTCAATCCTGTTAACCGATTAGCTGAATACTTAATGCGTAATAACCATAAACATAATCATTTTAGCGAATCTTCACCTTATGTCAGAGGGTTAAGATATACACTGACCAAGTTGCAACAAGAAACGTTTATACAGTCAGGAAACCAGCTGGCTAAAGTGAAGCTAAGTGCTGATGTCAGACGAACAGAGGAAAAACAAAAAGAATTAAAGACCAAAAAAGAATATGACGGACAAATCGCTATAATTTCCTCGATCTGTGACAGTTTGATATCACCTAAAAAAAATTCTACAAGTGCAAATATGGTGAGATATCTCTCTATTTTTGAACTTTCGTTTCGATATGATTAAATAGTTGGGCCATTCTTAGTTGAATATCTTATACTTTATCTGCAACAGACTTAAAAACTTTTAGTTGATTAATTTGTGTAAGTACTAGGTCAGAAAGCAAGTCTGAAGCATTCTGAGCTATATACTACTGATCGGCCTTAGGCATCAAAAAATGAGCTATTACTAGATTGAGTAACCATATTCAAGTGGTTTAAACACTGAATTGTCTTTTCATCCCTTTTTTCTATCTTGATATATTAGTGATTTGGCTAGAGTGGTGAAGTTGACTATTATGAAACCATTCAAATATTATTTTCACCTCAACTCTTTCACCGAACTGAAGATAATTGAAACAAGAATATGGCCGTTTCTCAGACTGAAATTTCTAGTTCAGAATTTTACTGATAAAATTTTTTTCTTTAGTCATCAGGTGCCAACGTGATTTGCATTTATAGCAATGCAACTGACACTCTTAGTTTTTGTTGGTATTTACCAAGAAGCGACCAACATTTTGCCACTCTGACAGTACTAACAATAGTTAAGAGTAAATAAGTCTTGTACAGCCATATCTGTTATTGTAGACGATAACAAGAGCAGCATAGTCTTGTCTTCAGTCCAAATCTTTTAATCTCTAATTTGGTTTATATTATTTCTCTAAATTAGTATATCGTTTCTGGTCAAGTTTTAATCAGTATTTCGCCATCGCAGATTTCTTCAATATGCAAAAATATTTAAGTAACAACCATTGTAGCATATTTAAATCCTGAAAAAGTTACTGATTTTAGATTAAATGGCGATAAGTCAGCCAATATTTCCAAGAAACCATGAAACCTAATGTGTAAAACATGTGTCATTAAAAGTCACTTGAAAAATAAGAAAAATAGGTGTGCCGTATTGCTGAACTCTTACAATAACGAAATAATACATAGTAAGAATGGTCGAAAAGCTACTTATTAGTATAGATTTGTAATCAGTGTTAAACAATAGCGTATTTCATTCAAATTTGTTATTCTGTGGGAAAAAGGAAGAAAGAGCTGATAAAAGAAGAAATGAACTGAGTATAAATGTTATTTAGATAACACAGCTTTATTTTAATTAATATTATATAACTAATTTATACTTACAAGATAAACAAAATTATTTTCTCGTTTTGTGTATGGTAATTCAAATTTTTTGCTTCTGTTAGGTAGTGAGCATTAGTCTTTAATTAAGTTGTCAACAAATTATACGTGAGATTGATAACTACACTGGTTTCAACATTGTGTACGATGATGAGTAGTGAAAAACTCATTTGTTCAGGTATCTAAGGATTTCAGTGTTTACTCATATGACGTTAGTTGTAATGAAAAATACGTAGAATACATTACAGCGTTTGTGATGGTAACAAGTTATGATGACCATTGTATAATCACAGATATGAATTATCAGCTAAATTCCAGTGGGCGGTCTGTTCTCTTCCATGAGGGGTAACATGCATAAGTAAGTAAGTAAAGTCTATAAGTGACTATTTGTTTAATAGAGTAATCGTTAACATAATTAGTCATATAGATAAACAAACGCATCAAATTATGTTTTGCTAATAACAATAACTACTAGTTTATCTTTGTATTCTATTTGAGTTTGATTAATTATCTTATTTATTTTAGATAGAAGATGTGGTACTTACATTCATGGAACTAACTAGTATACTACCGGAAGAAATGAAACAATGCTTAGTGCAAACTTTTAAAACTCAAATAAATAAAGACTATCAGACATTTTATGACAAAAAACAATTTGTTAAGGTGAGTGAATTTGGAAATTCTACACTTTAAGTGAAGTAAAGATAGGATAAAGTTTTATAAAATCATGCGACTGTTGTTCTTCTATTGTTTAACAAGATATGATTAGTTATTTTCTAGACCACACAACTGAAGTTGTTTCCATTTTCACTCATTTTGTTCATAAATGAATTTTCGTATAATAATATTAAATTTTAATCTCGAAAATTGGAGTCTGTTTTATTGATCATACATAAACGAAATAGATACGAATCCTTACAAACCGTTTCAAATGGTTTTTAAATCACGAATGGAGGTAAAATATGGGGACGTTTGATAAGGCAAAACTAACGGTTAACTATTTACATTCGTGTCCTTTGATATATCATATATTTTAAAAAAATTAATTGTACTTATTACCTTAGATTTTTAGTTGTAAACGTATATCAATTTTATAAAGCTGTGAAGTTAATCGGATATCCTCCTTCACAGTAAAATGCTATTTAAATACCATTAACAAATTAAAATAATCAGGTTTGTATTTTTTTTTGGCTATGACTAACAAGTGGGTTGAGATTCAAACTTTGATAGTTATCAGTGAAGTCGATCGATTGAATGTTAACAAGTTATGCCATGTAAAAATGTCATGAAACAACAATATATGACAAAATAAATCATTTTTTTGTTTTCCACCTTATGAACTGTTGATACTTCCACCATACAACCATGAAAATGGTTAGTGCATTAGTGTAGGAATTTGAAAAAAAATATGTTGTTCGTTTCACTGGCAAAAGGAATCAAGATAGAAAGCAGAGACTGATTTATTTGAATCACAAGAGATGTGTTATTTAATTACAATCAGAACTGAGAAAAGTTGTGAAATCTTAACATTGTTCGGAAACATGATATATGGGGTTATTGACCGAAACTACAATTTTCAACTTTAACGTGAAAACACTTCTATTTTACGCATCTCAAACTTAGAGGAATTTCACAGCCACCATCAGAAATGTACAAGTGTTTATAAACAGATGTCTATGTTAAAAACTCCGAATCCATTGACCAGGAGCTCTCAACGATAACTTACTGTGGAAGAAAGCAAACCGGTTTCCGAATGAAGAAGACACTAGGAAATGACCCTAGTGTTAGATGGGACACAGTTTATGGGATTATAAAACTCACCCACAAGTCAAGTCATAACTCAGAATGCTGAATGCAAAAGTAAAGGGAGGAGACCAAAAAGTAAATGGTTCCAGGAACTGTAAGCATAAATGAAGATAATAAACGGTGTAAAGGGGAGCTCAGTACATAGTTGGTTAAATAATTCAAGTAGGCAACCTATGCCGCAAGAGGGGTACTAGGCCAAAGCGAAATGGAAGTTTATTACTGAGTATATATATATATATATATATATATATATATATATATATATATATATATATATATATATATATATATATATAATCATCTGTTGGAGGTAATATGATATATTATTATTGTCTATTACTTACCTTAACAAGCATTTGCCAAAGCTAATAATCTATTCACTCTGAATGGTAGCTCTATTACGTTTAAAAAATGTATGCATTCAAACTGGAGTGAATTAGGTGGATACAAATAAAATCCATAGGGAATAACACTGGAAATTAGACATAATGGTACTGATAACTCAGTTGATTTATTGAGTATTTGTGTGGTGTTTTAGCTTAGTAAAGAGACAGAACTAATAACTAGAACTTCATTTGACTCTAAAATCTCTGTGTTAGACTTAAGTATCTTGTGGTTATCATGAATACACACTAATTCACATTTTACCAGGTCATATGGTTAGATATTCCATCTTGGATTTTTAGTTTAGTAAGAGCATTGCTTGATATGTTATAAACTAAAGTTGTCCAACTGATAGGTTGGACATTAACACTGCCTTAAATATCTCGCTTATTAAAACAGAATAGATTGACTTATAAACTGAGTTCTCTGTTTATATGGTATCTTACCTATGTATTCTTACTCGATAATCTGTCTTTCTAGTGTCTCATGGTATATGCTAGATTGATGTCAACTGATGCTTTCGAACAGTTTACAGAACATCTAAGACTTTGTACGGTAGAATTTCGTAAAGCAGAGAAAAGAGAAGAGCGACGGGAATTATTGAAAAGTTGCTTCCGTACGTGTGATTTAGACCAGGTAAATATATATATATATATATATATATATATATATATATATATATATATATATATATATATATATATATATATATATATGAATGTACACAAAAACTGACGACTGATAATCTCATTTTAAGTCATTTTTTCTCATTTTTATGCATTATTTCCCATGTTAATAATAATGGTTTTAAGTTTATTTACTAGTGTTTCTCCTATGAGTAGCCGTAATCATTCTGCTGAACCTACTTAAGTCATTTATCTATCACCAATTAATACGATCAGTATTTTACGATTAGTTTAGATTCAGTACTGAAAAACTCTTTCATGCTTTTATGTCACAATGAATACATTATGTTTAGTTAAATGATTTACGAAACCTAGCCATAATTTTGATGTTTCTTTAGGAGTTTCCGATTTTAATACTTACGATTAGTGAGAAATCTGCATTACCTTATTAGGAAAGTATCAAAATACACTGAAAGGATAATTAAATATTTAAAAAAAACATAACTACAGATTAGTTATTGAGTTCTTCATATGTGTTACAGTATGAATTAGAATATTTGTAATATGTTAATTGTGAGTACATCAGTTATAATTACAGGTGAGTTAGATACCAAATTGATAGATTTTACATTAAATTTCCCAAACAAAATGGCTTTGTAATGCAGAACAACTAGTTTTGAGGAATTGGAAAAATGGAATCAACTTAGACTTTAATGTCAATTTATTTGTAGAATATATTTTGATGACTAAGTTCCTAGTGCCAGATAAAATGACAGATCTATAAAACTCATTCTTATAAGTTAGAAACGTCATACACCAATTTATTACATGTGTTTCAAACAACTTTGTAATGAACTAGGACATAAACATTTTTCTACCTACTGCTTATTCTGTAAGTATTAATTTATCCGTTTGTATGAGAAATGCCCTTAAAACTCCTGTTGTAAACAACAGCAGAAAATTTCAGTCTAACGTTAATACATCCATATTTAAACATCAGCATGTTTACATAGAAATAAACTCATTTGCCGATTCTTGTATATGTATGCCATCATCTTAACTTTCTCTTGAATCTCTCATACCTCCTATTAAACAGTTTAATGAGTAAAAAATAAAAAAACCATAGGGACTAAAGAAATTTTTCTTGTTTTACTGGGATAGCATCACTACACAACAATTATAAGCTTTGTTTCAAATGAATCACATTACTGAGAATCCGTTTTGTCGTTTTATTATTCATATTAAGTTGGATGAATTATCTCATGCACAAGTTTTTCAACGGTGTGAAGATTACTTTGATGCATGTCAACAAATTATCAAAGACAAGATCCATGATCCAAGAGATTGTAAGCTATAATTACATACTTGTTGATGTTTATTATTAAAGTGTAAGTTATCATTTGAATTAATCGGTTTTTGCGAAAAAGATATCCAGCAAACTTATTTGAATTCATTTAATAGGATATGTTAGTTTTAGTGATCTGAAAATATGCTAATCTATGTGAACCGGGAAGCTGTTATAATTGGATTTAAGAAAAATAAAAACTTGATTGTGAAATGACCTTCTTTGATTACTAAATTGCAAATATAAAGTGTGAAGTAGACGACGATACTAATCGACAGATGAATAAATGTACTTTTTCGTTAAGTGTCTACTGGAACAATCAATTATTTCTATTTCTATTTCACTCGCTATTACAAAAGCCTTATAAATTATTATGATGGAAGTTTTGCAGTAATGTTTTAGTTCGAGTTCAGTATTTATTATGGATTTATGTTATCTGAAAACCTATTGAGAATCAAGAGAGTAAATAGCTGTTTCGTTCAACCAAATAACTACTCACTAATACGAATTTACAACTCCATGGGAGTTTGAATTTACAGCAAAAAGGTCTTTGGCTGAGGAAAATACTTCGAGAATACTAAGTTAAAATTCAATGGTTCGTATTTGTTTTTAAAATCATTGCCAGTATTTGATATGATGAAATCCATTCAACATTGCTATCAGTGAGCTAATGTTGAGTTTCGACTTGTTTAAGGGGAAACCTATTTCATTTGGCATTGTACATCATCATTAAAATGTCAAGTAAAATCAAGAGGGTTGTTAAAAGTCGTATCTCTCTAGTTTCTATGATATTAAGTAAGCAGAAAATATTTCTAAATTATACTGAATTGAAAATATATTTAATGCCATTAACAATATATAACTAATAGTCCAAATTGCTTCAATTTCACTTTTAGGGTCTACAAAAGAATATCACTTGAAGATATCTGTAACAGAACCTGTTACAACTATGGAAACAAATGAATGTCCATCTTCATCTAAAGTTGATGATGATAACAACGTAAAGGACAAACAACATTCTGTACTAATCTACAATGAAAATAGCTCAGATAATGACATTCAACATGATAACAGTAGCTCATTACAACTAGGTACTCGGCAGCTAGACGAAATTACTATCTTTCCCACTCAGTCTAATATTAAAGGTAATTAAAGTATCTTTGTAGTCTACTTTAAGTACACAGAAGTGTTCAAATGACTTCGCATGAACTCAGAAAAGCTGAGATATATTTCTACTTCTGTTTTAAGTTTATCGTTGTATATACAGTCTTGCCTAGCTTCTTAACGTTTATGACATACTCATTTAATAATTTAAAAAAAACTAATCTAAAAGATAATGTTTACATTATCTATCTAATGTCGAAGTAATAGAGTCTATTCCAAAACTATACTATTCCATTCCTCGTAACATCATTCCTTTAACTTATTTAAAGTCCTCAAACTTAGTGCAATATAACTTTTGAAAACAATTGTATATATATTCATTTTTCCGTACTTTAGTCACATTCTCATTTGAATTAAGACGTTATGATTTTGCATGTCACTAATGCTTTCTGCTTAAATTATATATCACGAACTAGACTTGATTTTCTTCACTTTCTCATTCTCTCCTCGTATCTTAGTTTTAAAGTATTACACTATCAGTGGAAAATATATACTCTGTTTATTCTTAAATTAGGATACAATTAGGCAATTCTTTTCGAAACTTGTGATGAGGTTAAATGGCTGAAAGTGATCAACAGGAAACCAGGGATTTAGGCCTTGTGTTCGTTAATTTGTGTGAAATGACAATCTAATGCATAATTTCTAATGGTTTATGTAACTAGAAATTCAAGAGTGTTCTCTGAATTAGCACCAATTATATATTTTGTATCTATTATTTACTGAGTTATCTAACCGGATTCAAAAACTTCTTATACAAAAGGTGAAAAGCTGATTTAATATCAGCTTCTGGTGGTGAAAGCACTACTGAATAACTGTTTATACATCAGAACTATAGTTTCTTTTTATCCTACAGTTAGTATCAGTTGCTCTATTTGTAAGTAATATTTTCTTAGAGTAGAAGCCATGATTTTCTAAAAGTGGTAGAAGGTGAAGGAATGAGGAAGGAGAATGAAGTTATTAAATATTAAAATGGATGGAGTGAGATGGGAATTTCATACCGTTTTAGAGCTCAGTTGTAGTTGCAGTGACATATTCTATTATAGGCTCTTTATGAGACTACCCAGAAATAATGTAATACCAAGTTTTATAGTTTAGATTCTCCCGTTTTCTCTCCAGAATTCTTGTCTTAACTTGATAACCATATCGTCTTCATTGAGCCTTGCTCTCACTCCATTGGTTACTTTGTCTTAGAATCTATGTTATCCGTTGTTCGTGGTCGTTTATTAACTGAATCTCAAGACCTGTTGTATAATAACATGATATTGATAATACTGTCTTTCTGGTTAATGAAGCACGTTTTCCTTAGTGAACTCTTTTTAAAACGGTAGAATTGCTATGACATTGCCTCTTATTATGTCCTTATTTGTATTGTTTAAGCAAGCGTTTATCTCCTTACTAACAAATGTAAATATCAGTAATCCTTGAAGTGAGTTTAATCGAAAAACTTTAATCTTTTTTAATGAAAAATTTCCAATTTTACTATGAAGTTATTAGTTCTTTAGAAATCTTGGAGTTTATTTCGGCGTGTTGTTGAATGTAATTATGCTGGATAGTATTATATTTATTGAGTTTCACACCACTGTAATTTATTTCGCTAAATTTTTTCGAACATATTTACGCATTTAACTGCCTGTTTCCTAGTATGGTTGTTATAGCTCTGCATCATTTCACCAGTATTTCAGACTGTTTACAGTATGGATATCTCAAATTTCCATTATAGGTTGTTACGGGACCAAGACGCGAGGGTTAAATATTAGTTGTTTTAGAGTTCATAAGTTTAATCACCTGATAAACAGAAAATTTGTGGATATTTTCTTAATTTGAGAAGTTTATACATAAATAATGTATAATAACTTACCTTAATCGTTTCATACCTAAGTGACAGAGATATATTGCTGAAGTGTATGTTAATTTCTTATGTTATATGGGCAAGGTCATATGATTAACTAGTTTCTAAATCATTTGATATCAGTTTTCACTGATAACTGGTTGCACTATTTTTAACTAAGAATATGTTAGATCTAATCTCTAGTCTTCCAATACATTTTCGCAAAAGTACCCTATACGTCCTGATTAGATTACAATCCAAACCAATGAACTCAGTTTCCATGTAAGTTAAATAATGTCGTTACTTCGCGTTATCACTAGATCAAACGGAATAAGATGTTCCTTTTAAGAATCATGATGCACTATTCTTTACTGAAATCCCCAACGGCTAAAAGGCTAGTAACTTCATTTGAAGAAAGTGATAACCTCAGATAGATGTAATTTTAAGATAACTATACAAAAGCTTGTAATGTGGAACAAACTGATAACAAGCATTGACCTAGACTCCTCTTTTCAGCAAGTTATAAGGAGTATCTGAAGCCAATAGATGTTTAAAATATTTAAAATAGTGATAACAGATATATAACGTGCTCTTTTATATATTTAAAAAGTTTAAATTAAGATAAATCAATTATCAATAATTAGTCGTTGCATCTTATTTAATATTCACATAGGGCTTTATAGTGTGATAGTTCATTAAAAAAATCATTTACTTTTCTAGTATTGTTTCACTATGATACTTGATCAAATTACATAATTTAAAACGACAGCTATATTAATTTTCTTACATAATGCTTATTAGATCAATTGATAAAGACTTGTCGACTGGCCGATACATCTGGCATAACACAAAATCAGTTTATCAGTATTATGGAATTTATAATACCAGAAACTGCTCCTTTGAAAATTTTTAATAATTGTTTAACATATTTGAAAAGATATGAAGCTTCAGCTGAAGAACGTGAGGAAAGAAAACTTCAGGTAGATATTTTTGTATATTATTAATTAATTAATGCAAAAACATGTAAATTCAAGTAGAAAACAAATGGTACATTCGAAATACGATACCAGGCCCCAAAATGCCCTGGTACGGCCGAGAGTGGGGAGAGTCTACTCTCCCTCTCGAAATGCTCTCACATGGCCACGCGTATATAGCCTCTGCCAGGGAAGTCCTACTCACTGCCTTCTCGTGGCGGGGGTGTTGTTCACGAAAATGAGAGGACGAAAAGCGAATGTCCGGCGCTTTAACGGGATTCCAAACCAATGGTGCACATGGGCTCCAGTATCCTGCGGGAACAAATGGCGTATGAACCAATTGTTGGTCACCGGCTACCATGGGACTGCGTCTCCTGACGATGCTCCACTGCCTTGTGGATCAGACCCTCAGGTCGAAGGCTCGGGGTGTGGGCCCCTAAGAAAGCCACCTGCTTCGGTCTGGGCACGCGGGCAGTATCACAGCCCTCACACATATCGAATGAGATTTGTGTGGCGCATATGTATTTGGTGCCTCTTTGTACCAATATCTATGTGTTGAAATAAATAAAATAAAAATACGATACCGGTTATATCCTAGTGAAGATTAAATTACGAGTAACTTCTGAGACCTATTAATGGACTAATATTATCTATATATTCTTATGGTATAACTGTTCAGTAGCTAAACTATGAATATCTATATTCCTCTTATTATAAGCTCCATTTTGAACTACAGATTATTATTATTATTATTATTATTATTATTATTACTATTATTATGCGATTTACTATTCTTATGTTCATTTTAGTGATTACAGTTTCCCACGTTGATAGCCACTTTTTGCCCTGATCTTGTATAAATATTATGTCCTATTTTATGGTGCGATAAGGTCTATTTGGCTGGTATATAAAGCAAGTATGTCTGAGGTAAATGATTCGCATAACGGAAGTTGTTATTGGTGTTCTGGACTCCGCTAAACGGGATAGGCGAATGAAGGACAAATAAGGACGCTAGGCTGATCAGGCCGGTCGAACTTCATTGGTTTAATACATTTCAAGAGTGAATAAGTCGGATTTCGATTGGCGAATAAATCACGTGATATCTAGTCGGATGTGAAGACACAACAACCATACTATTATTCAATTCCTGAATCTAATGAACTATTCATATCGTTCACATATTTTTAATAGCTAGGATAAATTCCTTGGAATAATATTAATGTCATTGTTGCATGATAACAGAAAATTAAATAATCTAGTATTTATCAACGACTTTTAGTTTCACACTATGAATTTTCATCTAACTAGGCATCTCTTTTAATTAAAAACAGATTGTACAGGTAGTGTTTAATTTTAAATTAGATGATGTGTGAAGGATAGGCAAAAATTTGATATGATTTAAAAAAACAAACACACAATAGGTCTGCAGCTGATAAATAACATTCAAAATATATAAATTTCTCTCTTCAACCACTTAATTATAATACAGCAACTAAGATATTCGTGAACAAGGCTGTTACATCGAAGGATAACATCAGTTAGTCTTTGTTTATTTGGATGTCCTTATTCTTATCCAGGAATTGTACGGGAGATTTGATGGAATGATTGGATGAATTCACTGTTTCAATATTTGTGAAATTTCCCGTGAACCCCTACAAGTTCTTGATGGAAACTATCATAAGTACAGCCAATCAGGTTGAGAGTAAGACAACAATTCACCGGTAACACCATGGAGATACGTGTTTATGTCACAAAGAAAATGAAGTTTTAACTCGCTAGCCTAAATTTGTCTGACTGTTCTGTGAATGGTGAGTATTATGGGTTCAATACTGTTTTGAGTATACATAAATGAATTACCATAAAAATAGAATAAGCAGATTTTCAGTATTTTCTCGTAGAATTAATCTAGTTCAACATCATAATTTAAAAACCGAACAACCTTGAATTTCGGTAGAAAATATGGATTGTTGCTTTTCTAGCAACCATACCGTACGAAATAACTTGTGATACCTGATAATTAAGAATAAGTAAGTAAAAACTTGTCTACTTTTCTCATGGATATATATTAAGGTTCAAATAAAACATTTCTTGAATTGGGATTCCGGTAGTCGTATAAGTTCATTGTCTAAAATTCCATAAACGATTTAGAAATATTTTGTTTCACTGGGAATTTAAAGCATTTCATCAAATCTATTAAACGTTTCCATTATGTGTTTGAAGTTACTGGACTAAACCAAATACTGATTATCACAAATATAATAAACCTGTCTATTCCACTTTAAATTGTAGCATTTCCAGAAGACTTCAATAATGAAAAAACATCAACTACTGAACAAAATATTCCACACATTAGATCAAGAATGTTCTGGAATATTAAACCTTAAGAAAATTGAAGATTTTATATCAAATTATGAAGATGGATTTTATAAGGCTCATTTGAAACAAGGTAATTAAGATAGCTTGTCAAAAAATTTGTTTCAGTGCTGTCATATTATTTATGAGTTACTTGTAAGTGCTAAGCTCATTTTATAGCTGTATCTAAATTAAGATCCATTCTCAGCAGTTATAAATAATATAATTATTATTTAGTCACGTTGGAAATCATGAACATTTTTTAAAAAAATGGTTGCTGAAATTTGTACTGAGACTTGTGATTCAGTCGAAATTTAACTGGTAATATTAACCTTCTTACGAAAGGAACTTAGGAATATTACAAAAAACGTAAAGATTTTGTGAAGTTTCTGTCTACACCCACATTAAGTTTTTTGTTGTTGGTTTTTTTGCACCCTTACTGAATAAAGCGAAATAAAAAATAAATTATCGAAAAACTGTATCCTATTTTTTCTATTAGTGTTTCTTTTCTGCCTTGTTTTAGTATTTCATTAATATATATTCAGAATTCCAAAGTTTGATTCAAGCTGTACTGATAACATTATCTCGATAAAGACCTTTGCTAAAATATCATTGTAAATGTGATACTAAGCATAACAATTAAAAAGAATGAATATAAGTGTAGTTGTAAAAATAAAGCTTGCAAACATAAATTACATGAACTTAAAATACACTTTAAATACAATGTATTCATCAGTCACCTATACATTTTCAAGGAAAGGAGAACAAGAAGACAGAAATTAACAACAGTCCAACAAGAACGCAGAAAGTCAATACTCATGCTGAATACAACTTCCTTGACCATGAGAAAGCTCTTGACAGAGTGTATAAGGGGACCTTGTGAAGCCGTCTTCGATACCATGGTGTACTTGAGGAGTTCGTCTACATCAATCGGAATTCATATGACGGACTACAGTGCAAAGTCGTGGATAGAGGACAGCCGACAGGTGTATTGCAAATGAGGATTTGTGTTAGATAAGGCTACTTACTCTCTGCCTTTCTCTTTCCTTTGGCAGTTGACTGGATTACGAAGATCTCCATATTTTAGGGAAAGCACGAAACACAATGAACAGCTTGGATGCAACTAGACGATTTGAACTTCGCAGATGACATGATCCTTCTATCCCATGCACAACAACACGCACAGATGAAGACAACCAGTGTAGCAACAGCCTCTGCATCGGTAGGCCTCAGCATACACAAGGCGAAAAGGAAGATTTACAGTTACAACACTGAGAACACCAACCCAATCATACTTGATGGAGAAACTCTGAAATTTGTGAAATATTACAAGTAGCTGGGAGGCAACATCGATGAACAAGGAAGATCTGATGCAGACATAAGTGCGAGGATTCACAAGCAAGGGCAGCATCCCTACAATTGAAGAACATATGGAACTCAAAACTACTGTCTGTCAACCAATATCAAGGTGAGAACCTTCAATATGAACGTCAAGACCGTTCTGCTGTGCGGGGCTGAAATGTGGAGAACTACTACAACCGTCATCAAAATGTACAAGTATTTATCAACAATTGTTGGCCGGTGATATGATGAAAAGAAAAGTCAATTTTCGATTGATTTGCTCATTATGAGTTTTGCTCAAGATTACTTCCGTTTTAATTCAAAGTAATGATTATTCAACTTAGTATTTGTTTTCTTTTCTCGTATGATATTTTATTCTGTATAATATACGATATTCTTGTATTCCATTGACATGAACTATGCTCAGTATGTGATGTGTTATAACTCTAAGTATTTTTCATATATATGTGGTTTCGTCCTAATTATTAATCAAAATGGGTGTACAATCAATATATAAATGAGTGTATTTTCTACTAGAGTCGTCATCGTCATGTTTTGGGATTAATAAATCATCACTTATACCAGTCTTGTGTTCTTACTTTCGCGTCGTGAGAATTGCAAAGGTCCCTCGTTTCGAGTATAAGTGATAAGCGTTTCTGACATAACAATCAGCGACGATCAGATACAAAAGTACCATTAAAAGAACCACGACAATAAACATTCAAACGACAAGTTATAACAGCCGGATACCTTGAGTAGCATCCTACTGTGGGAAAGAACAAACCAGCTTACAGATAAGGAGGAAGTTAGGAAAAGATGCTATAATTGGATGAAGCAAACATTGAAGAAATCATCAAACTGCATCATGAAACTTCTCTGCTAGGGTTGAAGCTATCATGAGTTCGCTTAATCTGCAAACGAGAAGCAAGACTCGGTGACCAAAGACCAGTAAGCTAGCTATTGATGCGTCCCAGCCCCGCTAACTAGAGGGAGAAGTTTAAGCTCGGAATAGGGAAGTATATTCTGAAAACAGCCAGAGACGAGTGATAACAAAAAACACAAATCAAAACGTATATATACAGCACAAAACCGTCCTTGGGGAGAGTTACAAAATAGCACACTAAAAGACACAACAGACCAATCGCATTTAAGGTAGTTCCCAGTGGAAAATATGACATGAAGGTGAAAAGAGCGCCTTTGGTGCGAAAGGAAAGAAATTCGAATTTTCTAAATAAAATTACAAAACTAGGTCCTTTCCCAAGTGAGGTCTGGGGGTCTAACGTCCCCAACATTCTGTAACTTAGAATCCTGAAGGGAAACAGAAAAGAGAAAGGCCAAAGAATAAACTGCGCAGAGAATCTGAAGCAGACATTAAAAGGATGAATAGCAATTGGAAAAAACTGGAGGGGATTGTCCATGACAGAGTTGGATGTGAAATGCTGGTGGGCGACCTATGCTCCTTCACGAATGGTAACAGTCATAATTAAGTAAATACAGTTAGACAGCTCCAGTTTGCTGACTGTCACATTCATTTTGTTCTAGACGCTCCTCATGTTCGGAGACTAATATAATTGTACGGTACACTCTAACTTAGCTCTGAGTATTAAAAAAGGACTAATTACGTGTCAGAGTAGCTTTGAATATTTTAAATTATTTTCAAATGCTGCTTTTGTTAACAATAAGGCAGAGGAAAGATTGAATTTCAAAATTGAATAATGTTTAATTTAGAGTTTTATTTAGTCAAACTCAAATTATATTATTCCCTACCATTATTGATGTGTTTTTAGCTAAGTCAGATTTAGCTTCTAACATTCAATCGACTGCAAGGTCTTTTTCAATGTCTAATGATCAGGTAACTTCAAGTTCTACATTTACCAGCAGTTTAATATCATCATCCGAGACTTTTAGTAGTCCATCATATATTCAAAGCACAGTTAATCAATTACAAAATTTACATTATTACCATTATCCAGAAAAGTCAGTTGAAATAAATATCACTGAGTTCAAAATTCTATTAGATCACATATTTTGGCCTAAAAATAATCAATATCTGATTGGTCATGATGAGTTTAACTTCAGTTGTTTGGAAAAGTTTCTTAACTACTTAAAAGAAAAATTAATACAAACTATACCTGAGAAAATAAGAGCACAAATTCGACGAGAATGGATAGAGAAGATTTTATCAGTTTCACTGAATACATTTGATAATTCAATGGAATTAGTTTATAAAGCCGTTTTCCAGGTAAGATAACTAACTTTATTTTATGATTGAAAGACAATACAATTTAAATTATGATGACTAACATAATTAATCTATTACAATAAGTGAATTCTTGTTTTCTACTATGTAGAATCATCTTATGAATACTAATTCAAAATGATTTCATTATGATGACTTAAGCCAATTGGTTATAGATAATTCTATCCACAATATAAATGATTTATTATTAGAAAAAAGCCATTCCTGGATAATAAGAAATTACTTATTGTTTTTCTAAGTTCAGTAGATAATTGTGATCTATTTGGCTAACCTATGTGACCTAATAAAAGTAAGTTCATGAATAAGTGACAGATTTAACACCATAAATAAATTCTTTGTTTATCTTACTCGTTATATTCACATTCCGGTTAATTTATACCATTTTTTTCATTCACTTGATATTGTTTTATTTGAATCTTCCCATTGATGTTTTAGAACTGAAATTGATCAGTCTCTTATTGGGATATGTCCTCGATTCCACTGCTAGCCACTATCCATCTCTGCTTATAATGCTTGTATATTAAGGCAATATCGAGACATACGCACAGTATGCACATATGCCAATAAGAGACTGATCAATTTCAGTCCTAAAACATCAATGGGAAGATTCAAATAAAACAATATCAAGTGAATTAAACTTCACCCCATTGCACAAGGAAATGGCTATCAGGACTCAGTAGCTAAGTGGAATAACGCGATGGCGTTTGAGGCGAACGGTACTGAGTTCGAGCCCCAGATTGAACATCAACTCTGAGATGCAGGTACATCCAGCTGACGAGTCCCAAACAGGACGAAACGCGCGTACTCGATTCCACTGCTAGCCACTATCCATCTCTGCTTATAACACTTTTTTCATGTTTGTTTTTGTAACTTCATCTAATAAATTATAAGTACGTTGATCCTAGTTATGTACAAATTAACAAAAGTAAATTACCAGATATTTTTATAAGTTGCTTGTTAAGTATATAGTAGGTATTAAAGATACCAGTATTACTGTTTATAGATTATTTTAATTCATCTAATCTAACAACTAAATCTGACAAACAATGAATAGTTGTTTTAATCATCCAAAAAACAAGATGATAAATTTTCAATTCATGAGAGTTATATTTATTTGCAGATAAATACAAGTAATTATTCTCTTCATAATTCCACATTTCAAATCATAATTATTAAGAATGATGAAATGATTCTTTTACTACTAATTAATTGTTATTAGTGTGTTCATAATTATCACTGAATTATAATTATTTCTCAATGAATACCTTCTTTTTTATGCACATTCTTGCTTTACGCGTGAAGACACTCATAAAAGATACAATAAAACATGGTGCACAAAAGCAGATCAGTGTTAACATTGCATTACTTTATCCAACAGAAACAACAAATGATGCATTGCCTTTCGATACAAATATACAATCCCGTTTACAATATGTAGCAGCCATACCAGAATCGGAAGCTGAAATTCTGCTTGATCATTGTCCACAGGGAAATGAATCCGATTTATTGTTCAAGGTAAACGGTTAAAAGAAAGTGATTATTAAATGTGTCAAATGTTTTCATATTGTTTGAGTTACATAAAATAATGTGCATAACTAAGTGGAACAATGATAATTTGTGTTCTACGCTGCTAAACAGTAGGGATTTATTTCGTATAGTCACTGGGATCAATGATAACGTATGAATCAATGACAAAAATTACTTCTCCCTACCATGTACCTTAGTTCTTATCAGTCAAAAGATAATACTTGATCCGTGACTACGAAGAATCATGATTTAACGACAATACAATACTTATCTAGTCCTAACCTAACCACAATGATAGTGAGAAATGGTTGGATGATTTGTGATTGAGCAACAACAGAATAAATTCCGTTGAGATCACGAGCTAATCTAAGTCAGAAAACCGGTTAAAACGTGAAAGAAAGTGACGTCCATTTTTCTTCAGTATGGGACTACTCAACAGTGTGCATTCACGACCCTGCGACCTAGGACCTCCGGTTTCGCGTGCGAATGTTTGATCTCTAGACCAATGAGCCGCAAATTAGTGGCGTGATAGTCTAACTCCAATTATTTTACGATTCTGAACGACCGTCTTTCATTTTTTTCTCTAAGTACCTTGCACATACTCGACACTGGTGAAATCCACTGGTCACGCCTTTCAAAAGGACAAAACAACTCACACACCCATAAAGAAGTAAACATGTCTTTACATCAACGACCATCAGCTCAAAATAGTGATTTCAGATTCAAGTACATCTTATCACTTTCCTCATCATCCTGAAACTATTTCAGTAAATCACAATGAAATTATACTTCTAATTAGATAAAGGTTAAAACTCAAATATATTTCTGGCATGTTCAAATCCTCAAATAGTAAAAAAAGTTAAGCGTAGGGTACTATCAAAGAATATATTCCGATTTTCGTTGAGACATATCGTCTCTTTTTCAGCTGTAATAATCTCATGTATGAACATAATTCGAATTATTTTAAAAATGTATTAGTTTTTCAAAAGACAATCGAACATATATTTTCCATATCTAAGGCAAGTAGATTTTGTTGTGACTTCTTCCCGGTTAATTATCACAGAATATGATCGCCCATCAGATTACGACTTATACAGTTTTAACACTGTGCTACAACAATGACGTATTGACCGGTATAAGCAGCCTAGCCTTCTTGTTGGCCCTTTTTCTGCCTAACCCTGCCTGTTGGCTCCAGAACGCCAATAATAGATTTCACTGTACGAATGATCTATTTCAGACATATTTGGTTTATATACAAACAAACTAAACCATATCATACCATAAATAAAAAAATAACAATTGTACAAGATCAAGCTAAAAATTGGCTGTAATTGTAAGAGACTGTAATTAATAAACTGGTTATAACATAAGAATAGTAAGTCGTATAACAATGGTCTATAGAGCTTATAATAAGAGGAAAATAAATATACATAATCTAGTTACTCAATAATTATATAATAAGAATATATTTATGATATTATTCCATTAATAGATCTCAGAATTCACCCATAATTTAATCTTCGTTAGGATATAACACATTTAATTATTAATCTACATGATCTGGATTTCTAATTTGGACAACATTAAAATATTTTTTTTTGTGACTTAGGGTATTTTAATTTGTAACATGGTTTATATAAACTGAAAACTTATTCAGTTTTGCAAAGTCAAGCATTTACAGACTAATCCCTTATTTACGGGCATGGTATTCGGGTGTTGAGTGATGAATACAATAAAAGAAATTTCTAAATAATCCCAAACTATCTCAAAGTTTTTGTATCAGTTATGTGTTATGAAGAAAGTATTACTTATTAAGTATATTATTATATTTGTGTTCATATTTGACAGCAAATTATCTCTTGTGGTACATTTGATTTAGTTACACAATTTAAAGCATAAAAGTTAGATAATTCTTAGATTTATTCTATACTTAAAATAAATGTCTTTGGATTTGTTTTGTTTATCCGCAATAGTGTTTAAGAACTGGTTTAACATTGGTTCATTCTGAAATGTCAAGAATGAAAAGATTTTCACTTATCGAAAATAAGTCACATAACATGTCAGTATGTACTGAAACGAACACGGAACAAAGTTATCAGTCACCTTCATTCGCTCTTGCCATACCAATACCCTCTGCTAAAAAATACTTTATCGGAGTAATGAAAGTAAACAAATTGAAAAATAGCAACCAGCTACCAAAGTTTGAAGAACATGAAATTCAGTTTTATCGCGTAAGATTTGAAAGTTGCTTTTGATATCTTGGTTTTATTTTAAATTGTAAACAAATAAGCCCCTGCTCACTGGTAACTATGTTCAAGATTCTTTTCTCTGTATTCTACATGTAAAGTGACATAGGTCGAGCTCAAACATGTAGATAGAGAGACATAAACCACCGATGGCGTTACATGGTCGTGTGACAAAAGTACTAAAATTGATAATGTGAATTTTTAATCTCTGATCTCAACCCATCACGTCTAATAAACGATCTAAACGTCTTGAGTTAGGTTACGTATAGTGTCGTAAGTTCGAATCACTAAGCAGCACTGAAGTCAAGAGAAATTGTTACATAGTTTTACCATATTATATTTCTCCCCATAAATGTTTATTGTTGGCAACACCTAATAAATAAAATTATAAAAAACTGGTATGTTGTTTCTTGATCTTATTAATTTTATTCGTGAGATACTAAGACAAATAGGGATTTTCAACCCACAACAAGCCTATATATTTGGACATAATATTACTTAGTCGGAGAATAATGACTTTGATGGAGCTTCTGCTGATTACTTGAGTAATCGAGATAACTGGCTAACTATTGATTTTTATGTTGAAGCAAAAATTTAAATATTATATGACATTGTTTTAGTAACAGTTAACAGTAAAAACCATGATGAAGACAGTGCTATATTTTTGAGATACAAGACTAATGTATCCAAATAAGAACACATAAAAGCAGAAATTCTGTAACAAGATCAGTAAATTTTTTAATGCACATTAAACAACTCCCATTAAAAATTAAAAATAGCCGCTTAAGATGCATACACTGAAACACAGTAACAAATTAGAGGACAGTTCAGGGTTTACATAAGTGAGGATTGGTTTCTGATCACATTAGGATCATCATCGTTAAGAAAACTGAACCCGCATAACAATTAGCAAGACATTCAATATCTTATGTGAAGCTCTATTTCCAATCATTCTGTTATGTAGAGTCTCGACATGTACATACTACATTTGTTTTACATCATTTCAAATTAAGATTCGATATATTAGTTCAGACAGTATAATACAATAAGCATAAATATTCAAACGTTATTGTAATTGGTATAGAAAACGAAATTGAGTGTTCCAATACTGAAAAAAAATTTAAACATTGCAGCTTAAACCTTCATTAAGTGTAAAATTATTTTGCAAATGATTTAAATTCTTGTTTAATATATCAATAACTGATGTTTCTAAATAATAAAATAATATCTCACGTAAAGATTTTTCATCAAGTAACCAAGATAAAGTGAAATTTTCAAAAGAATTTACAACATCATTTTGACTACTGTTCATTTTGGAAGTAATATAAATAGGATCTTGAAAAGTATGCAATTGTATGTTAGATAATTGTGTTATTTTTAAATGATCAAACTTCATACTAATTGCGCCATTTTGATTAATAAACAAATGTAAACTGACATTAAAACGTAAACCGATAAATTTAACATGCATAAAATTATTTTCGGATGTTAAATAATTCCACTTAGGAAATAAGCACCAATTTGCAAGCATTTCCATATTTTTATTTAATTCAATTGAAAATTTAATTTTATAAACATCACATAATTTTTCATCACGTTTCATTATCCATTCTTTAATTAAAACATCACTATTAGGTTGATTTTTATTTGACTGTAGCCATATTTCTTCTTGTTCAATTGAAAATTGGTCATCGTATTGATTAATTTGACTAAGTCCATCAAATCCCCATATTGTTATATTCTTTAATGTTATCATCCAATTATCAATATAATCTATTTGAAATGAATTATTTTTAGCCAAATATGTTTTAGTTCTGTAAAATATGATATTGACAAGTAATCTGATTAGTTTTAAACAACTTTGATCAGTTTTAGCGGCGAACGAAGTTATGATATAATGGGAGTGATGTAATGCGTAGACGTTTAAGTTTTCTACATAAAGTAATTGGAGAAGTTTTAAGAGTAGAAGACCTGTAGGAAGAAATAGAATACAAGTAGTATTAAGAGAACTTTTAAGACAACAGTGACATTCAGTTATTTAAATTAATTGTGGCCCCAGCGAGTTAGCTATTTTCTTACAATCAGTCAATTAAACACTATAGAGTTAAGATTATTCATATTCTACAAACTTAAAGTGATAGAAAACATAAAACAATATAAAACCAGTGAAATTACTTGATTGTAAGTTAGTGTTAAAAATAAACTTGGATATGTAGTCTTCTTAATGATATGGTGATGTTAAATGTATGGTCTTAGATAAGCGGAGTTAATAAATTTATATGATTGCAAGCACAAAACTGAGATACCTCAAACTTGTGTTCCCGTCACTAACTTCAGATTATTATATCAGTTATAGAAATCATAATTTAAAGGTGACATCAAGAAAGTAAGCCAATAAATGACAAACAATTAGTCTCAATTTAATTACATGCCAACATTGAAATACAAAGTTAATACAATATATCACGCTGTAAACCTTCAGGAACCATAATATTTACAACTTCAATTTCCATAGTTAGTCAAGCCAACAAACTTTCACGCATCTATATAACAAAAACCTACATATATATTCAATTTTTAAGAAATAAACATTTGACGAAAAACATTACTTACATCTGAAGATGATCGTCATCGCTATTCTATAAAGAAAAGAAAAAGAATCGAAGACATATTTATTATAAGTAAATCAATTAGATGACTAGCTGATTAGTGACATGTTTCAACATAATTATTAGTATCTAATAAAATATTCACTTATTCTATGTCATGTGGATACAAATAATAATGAATAAAAATAACGGATGTATATATCATAAAAATTTGATGAAACGATTCATTCCATGGTTCACCACTGTATCGATTATATATGGTCAGGGTAGGAAGTGTGTGTCATTCACTTAAATATTTGTATGTTTGTGCATAAAAAACGTTTATTTATTGATAAATGATATGAAGCCTTAGTAGCATGTGCATGTGAGTGAATTCATTTACATATCACATTATATGGGCTGCATTGAATTAGTTCTACGATTTATGGGATATTTCGTTCATTCTGAAAAAACATAACTAAATTTTTAATTTTACCTCTAATGCATTCAATATTCGAATCGTTCACTCGTCACACTATAACTGTTGAAAAATGCTAACCGGAATATTGTAGCATCAGAATACTAACTATATGTATGATATTAATTCGAAGAGTATTTCATTAATTATTGGTATCCCAGGACAAATATAGGTTATAAAATTGAAATATCTCAGTTACATTGTTAACAAAAATGCTAATTTGGTCATTTTTACCAACACTAAAGAGTATTTAACTAGTCAGAAATAATTTGACTATTGAAGTTATTTATTTGTCTTATGACATTTAATTTTCAAATTATTATAGAAGAACAATCAAATGATCTTATATTGGATATCTAGAAAGCACAGTGGATGTTAATAAGATATATATGATAAAAATCAGCAAAAGTCTTTTGAATTTGCTTATTGATTTCAATTATTACCATATAAATGTCATCAAACAACAAAAGTAGAATGTACATAAAGCTTCAAAACATAGAAAAAACTGGCCAACCAAATAACATATAGATAATAATTGCTATGAGGTTTTTCCAAAAACTTGTAGGAATCTTCCATTTAAATATCAAATTCAAATAAACAGGTTACAAAGTGATTCAACACAGAAGATTAAACCAGTGAGTACAGTGAAATGTAAGAAAATATTGTTAAAAAATTACAATAAAGCTAGTGATCTGAAAAGAAATATCTATTTACCAAACATTTTATCATAATTTACTTCTCCATGAATAAATATCAATCAAGCTAATATTTATATTCAATGACCATCAACTTAAAATGAATGTACTGTTAAATTTTACTTACAAGGACTGGAAATATGAGTAGTTAGTAAATTTGAGCTACTTGCATGGAACATACATTCAAACATTTGTTTCTTGGTATACATTTACCTACCATAATAATTAAAATTACAGTTACGAGGTGAATGTTTTAAACCTATATTTGAAATGGTGAAAATGATTTCTTAAAAATGTTTGGAAAAAGATTACATTTTGTAGTAAGCAAGTAGACGAATGGAGACAATCGAATGGATTTAGCACTAAATTACAGGAATTGTTATTAAAATCTAACAATCATAAAGTAAATGCTTCATTTGCAAAATGTCCATCGATTGTCTCAAAATAACTTAGACTTCATTGTTCTTGCATTTTCATACGAATTAAATTCTGTTTCCTTTCTTTACTGTTCGATCCTCTTATCTATCTGCTGCCAGACATTCTGTTCACGACTAACGTCATATACTACTTAAGTCGATATAAGTAGCACACACCACAATCTTTCCAAGTACATTTTAAAGTAATAGTTTTTACAGTTAGTTATTCAATGGTTTTCTTTAAATCTTTTTTTACTGCAGGGTGTAGCTTATCATCTGGGTTTTGCTTTCTCGCTTGTAAATAGTCGATACTTATTCAGTTCCATGATACATGATGCGTTCGACTGGATTTATAAACGGCTAGGCAATATTGATGAAATTGCATTTTACCACCGATGTAATGATGATGAAAACGATGATGGTGGTGATGTAAATCATTCGACGACAATAGATTCGACAGCGGAGAAAACATATCTACCTAGCAAAGAGGTTAATTATAAATTACGCAAACTTGTATCAAAACATGGTATTCACCAAACAACAGTTCATACTGACCTATATGTTATCACTAAAAAGAAAAACCACCTATAGTAAGTTACATTATCATATTGATTGTGCTGTAATAAATTAGATACAAATATAAATATTTTTATGAAACATAATTTTATGCATCTTAATGACATTTTATAACTTAAACTTCATACTAACTTTCTACAACGCTGAATATTCATAGTGCTTCCAATAATAAAAACAAAGTGATACTATTTGATTATTCAAGCTATACCATTCGATGTTTTAAAATGTCATACTATTCATCTTAATATCTGAAATCATTACGATTCACTGACTGATTACTGTATTTATTACTACTCATTAAACCGTTTCTTGCTTTAATGAAACTGAATATTTTAATATTCATGATTCACTAGGGAGTGGAGCTGCAGTTTTCATAATATATTCACTCATAACTACATAAAGATATGTCACTGTCTGTCAACATCGATACGTTATTTTATAAAACGTGGTGAATAATTACCTTGACAATTTCAACCTACTAATAAGTAGTGCATTGATTGAATAAATGTGACCTAATTTAACTTGTTTTCATTAATATTTTACTTACAACTGTTCACCAGTAGTATGTAATTCTTTTCAGTTTCTCGTTATTTCTTCTGATATGTTTTTATTACCATACGACATATTATAATGTCGAATGTTACACTCATTTAGTGGATTTGAAATTTATTTAGACAACATATCGATAACTATCAAATGAACGTGTATGTCGGGTAATGTAGTATTTTACATATAAAATCTATTGATTATTAGGACATCATATTTTAGTTTACCTTTCCAACAATCATATCTACCAAAATGTTAAACACAGAACACAAAAAAATTGGCAGATTTAGTTATAGGAGGACAATGAAAATATGATGATAATATATATCGCATGAAAAAATGATTTCATCTTATGATTCACAACGCTAACAAGCTACTTAGAAGAAAAAAACAATGTACAGATGATAAACTATAGGCGAACAACTCTCCATGGGTGTTTTTAGAATGATGTGGGTCACTTAGCTGTCATTCCTCCTCAAACAGCTAACATAATAAAGTATACTAAATTCAAACTTCATGCGTTTTTAAAAACTTTATTTATATACTAAGTGACATACGTCTACGAAGGCAGCGAAACAGAAACTTATTTGGCTTTGTATTATTATTTGGTTACAGAAAAATGGTATAAACTATTCATAGCTACGATTTTATATCAAGTTTTTGTTTTAATTAAATGACTAGCAGAAAATGTCTTGCTCGACAGTTTCAAAATATATGACCATCCTAACTTAGTTTGTTAATTATTATGTTGTGAGTAGCATAAGAACTGACAAAACATTCATCAGTTCAAGTTGTTATACTTCACATCAGGATAACTGACGTAATCTGACATGAAGTAAATCAAATATGGCAAAGAAAGTAATAAAAATAATCATTGGAACTAATATATGACAAGCATGAAGAATTGTTAATCTTGACATTTAAAGAAATACATCTCAGACGTTCTGAATGATTTTGAATGATCTGAATATTATCTTCAATAATAAATTATAATTAACTCATAAAATTTAACCAGAAGTTTTGAACCATTCAACACAGCTCAGACTAACAGTAAATGATTTCTTAAATTGATAAAAGAAATTAGCGTACAGAAAAATATAATGAGTTGTTACAAACAGCAGTTATTTTGGTGATAAACAAACTAATTGAAAACTATGTTATTTTTATCAGAAGGGTTTTGTGGATATTATAGTAATTTCAATGATTGAGATCATAAAACAATTGAAGCTAGACCACCATGGGAAACCTGGAAGCGCTGGACGGCCGTTTCGTTCTATTGTGAGACTCTTCAGCAGTGCACATCCATGACCTCGAATCACGAGACTCGAACCCAAGACCTATCAGTCTCACATGCAAGCGCTTAACCACGAGACCACTAAGTTGGTGTCCAATGGTGCTAATGTCTAAATTCAACCAATCCACGAACTTGAGCGATACATACACCAATATCTTCAGTGAGTCACTAGCGCACTGCTCAGGAGTCCCACAATAGGAAGGAACGGCCGTCCAGTGCTTCCAAGTTTTCCATGGCGGTCTGGCTTCAATTGACTCATGATCTCAACCATATTATCTTGTTGGATGAAAATAATCACGACTAAGGAGAAAAATATATTTTGAATAAATTGATAACAAACAGGAACAAAGAAATATTATAAGCTTCATTTGAACTGTTATAACTGTAATTATTGTCATTCTATGAAGTATACAAAGAAATGTATCTTATCCACTAATCATTATATTTTGAATACTAAGAATAAAGAAATTAAAGTTTAATTTGTGGATGGGTTAAAATAATTAGTGGTTACCTATAAATTATAATAATTACCTATGGTTAACTTCTAGAATTAGGTAATGACTTACATTTATCTTTAAATTTACTTGTACTGTTTACTTTAGAGAATTATAACTATTTACTACTATACAAGTGAGCGATTTTAACCAGCTTCAAAATTAAAAAAAAAGGAGTTTAAGTGTAGTAGTACACCACTTTTAATGGTTGCCTAAATTTAATCAGAAAGTATGGAAACAAAAAAGAGGATCTGTTACATTTATTCATATTACTTTAATTTCTATTATCTGATTTATTCAGCTAGAATATTAAACAAGAGATTTTAATGACATTGTAGTCTTTGATCGAATAAGTCATTCAGATCACAGAAATTAATATCATTATAAACATTTTTATTGAGTTTCAAATCTTCAGTACATTATAAAAATAGAGAATTATTATTTCAGTTTATTAAACAAATATCTAATTGTGAATTATTGAATTCATTGTGAATTTTACTAGCGTTAACAGTTTGAATTAGTATTGTAATGACAAATAGTTGAAAAGTATCATAATTAAATTTGTGATCTTACGTTCACATTGTTTTGCACTTTTGTTTAGTTGTTTTATAAATACAACATAAATGAAATTATATACAAAATGATAGCCATTCTTTAGATTGATTATTATGATAGTTGAAAGAAGAGCATAGTTATAACAAATGGATTTATTTAATTAGTAAACAATTTGTTATATTCAGGTCAATAATTTGAAAGTTGAAGCTGAAATAATCTTATTGCGTGGTGCTCATTAAGAAAGAATACCAACTTTAAGAAATTTCAGCGAGTTATTTACACTACAAACCTTGTATTGGAGAGTTATCTAGTTGAAATAGTGTTCTACTTTGATCAAACATCGTTTAATCCCATTGCACGGATTATAGTACGTCATCAAAATTCTGAAGTCACTTATTTAAAAAAAGTCATTGTTTTTTGAGAATCGTAAGTACTCGTTAACTCTCTCTCCATACATATTACCACCGTTGACTTAACTGCTTCTATGAATCTGGTGTTCATCTTGCTGTGCAGATGAGGTATGGCAACTTGGGCCGATGCATATATGTGCCTGGTCCTACGTTGTAGCTGACTGACTGGATCGTAACAGTAGTAGTTTTTCACGGTAGGGTAAGTTTAATTAAATTTATGTTTTCATGTTCGTCTACAGTAAAAGTTTTAAGAATGCTACATTTGTAATTGTCAGCAAGCGAAACTCATTGTAATTCAGAATATTAAAGGTGACTTCAAATTCAGATGACGATTGTCAATGATTTCAAGCAACTTCTATCATCCGATAATGTGATGAAAAAGGAACCCATTTTACTTATATTTAAGCCAAATTTAAATGAGTGACAAACCCATACAGTTAAAAATAATATATTTGTAATATCCCAATGAGTAGAAAATTGGATTAATTTTAATTTGGTTATTTATTCTCTGAAGAAGTGACTTACACTAAGTCACGAAACGTCAGAAAATCCAATTTTCTACTCATTGGGATATTACAAATATATTATTTTTATTTATAACAATCAACCCAATGCTTAATTTATTCGAAATTATCAAATCAACCTTGGTAATGACACCTACCATACAGTTAAATTTAACATGATAAACTGACTATCAATAAAATCTGTTTGCAAACAGGAAATTAATATTTGCCAAGTTATCTTCGATCAATATAGTTTCTTGGCCCAACAAGAATACAATAAAATTCAATACTCTGACATTTTAAGTGAATTGAACAAAAGTTTAAGGTAAAAGACAATCTGATTATACAATCATTAAATAATTTTATTGACTAGAAAGTCATAAATTGTAACCATAAACTGTGGGTTAGATTACATAGTTTTATATTAAAAGGTTAATATAATCTATGAAATTATAACTCTTAATTATATGGTGAATGTATATTGTGTACATACCTCAGAAATCATCTCATGTCTAATGAAATATAATGTTCAGCTTACATAATTTACATATCATAATATCGGAAAATTCCTCTACAATGAAGGTTAATGAAAAGAGCAACAAATATGGAATAACTGTAAGATGTTTAAATGTGAATATTTATACGTTGAATGCAAAATTATTCTAGAATACAAAACTAAAGGCATAGAAATAGAATTATTTGGAAATGAGATGTCAATGCTATAGTTGTGTAGATCTTTGAATTTTATTTATTTATTTATTTCAACACATAGATATTGGTACAAAGAGGCACCAAATACATATGCGCCACACAAATCTCATTCGATATGTGTGAGGGCTGTGATACTGCCTGGGTGCCCAGACCGAAGCAGGTGATTTTCTTAGGGGGCCACACCCCTTTGAATGAAATTGACTGAGTACTCATCAGAAAAGAAGTAGGGACTAATGATTAGTGTCATGAGGAGAATTGTGTAACATATGTTTATAAGTGAGATAACCAAAGCTCGACATCGAAATAACAGAAAAGAAGGTTAGTGTTCGCCTCTTTAAGTACAGAAGCTTAGATTAAGAGGACAACTTGTTTTTAAACAGTGCTATTGTACTCTATCTGCTTGACATTCGTCATAATGTTGATGCTTCAGATTCCTTCAAGATTATTAGCAAACAAAAAACATAGAATTTACTATAGTTTGCCGGATCAATTACCATAAAAGATTTAAACCAAATTTACTCATCCAAAATAATTCAGCTATCGATCTTGCTTTGCTGTAGTGACCTCATTCATAAATGTTTGTTACTTAATCATTTTCATAAACTAAATCAGAAATATAGGTCGGAACTTATTTTTAACTTGATAATGATATTGTTTATGAGTAATAAACTCAAATCGCTAAATAAATAACCATTTGTTCACACTAAAAAACTAACACATTAGTTTATAAAAGAGTGATTAATGCCAGAAATAACAGTTACTAGATTTATAATAATTTTCTATTTGATATAATACAATTATCACAGTTTCATTTTGTTTGTTAAATTCTCAGTTATGTTTAGATTAGACTGAAATTATTGTTTTTAATTTAGAATAAAAAACAAAAATATTATTTTTATTGTTAACATTCACAATCACTCTGAGGTAGGTTCAAACCATGAGATACCTGTTTTCATTTCGACAGTTGAATAGTAATACTAATTTTCATACTTAGAAAATGTAACTCAAAGCTTAGTATACGAATTTTTGCTTGGTATATGATTTGCGTCTTTTATTTTTTTTCTTAAAAATCTGAGAACTGTAATGCTAATAATGTTTGATGCTATACAAATCTGTAGATAAAAAACTTTAATTTCATACCCGAATTTTGGTATCTGACACTCATTAATGTACCGTTTAATAAACATTATCAGCCTACAGTTAGGGATAACAATAAAAATATAAATTTCTAATTCATTTATAAACCTAACACGTGGTGTTCTATTTAAATATTAATGTCAAATTTACGTGTAAATTCACATGTTGAAAAATGTTTAATTTCATTCAATAATTTGGTATAATTCCATTTATTTTCAACATTACTATGTTTAATGGACACAATATTAATGTCATGCAATTCGTTCCCTTTATGAATTTAAATAAAACAAGAACAAATATTGATGCAGAATAGTATGAATTCATATTATTTCGAGATTTCTCGTCAGTTGCATACAACCATATATACAATAGAATTTTACATTGAGATAAGAAATAGTATGAAACAATATTTATGTGTATCCCTTTTATCAAAATCAACAAAAAAAATGTAAAAACTAGTTTGTTTTGTTTTATATGACATAAAAAGTCGTGATAAATCAGGTATATGATATTAGTAAATTCACTATAAATTCCTTGAATATATATCTGCTTCAACTTAATATAACGTAAACAAGTTAACTTATGACTTGTAACTACAGTTAACTACTGTTTCAGTTTTTCTATGTTGTTTATATTTTATCTGCTAACCATAGATTGTTTAAACTGACAAAAATTAATAATGTATAAAGTGCTTTTATCTTTTTACATTAACATCGATGAAAAAAGTATAATTGATAAACTTTCCACATGAATAACGACAGGTTACCAAAGAAAATAAATTTTCATGCTTATTTCACCAATTAATCCTTGCATTTAAATTGATATATCATTTAAATTATTTCTGGTGTTACTAGTAAACGTTGAGTATTCTTTCATGTACATTTATATCTGTATTGCACTATACTTAGATGATGTTTATCTGTTGTTAATTTTCAGCTACTACCTGTTCGACGTACTACAATCTGGATATTCATTAGTGAATTGCGTACTTGGTCGAAAACATTATACATTTCCATTTACTGATTGCAATAATAAAGTGATCGGTGTTATTGATGTGCGTTGTTTAAACTTCCTTAATAAACATGAATTAGATTATTTACATAAAAGTTTAACACATTTTCAAGAAGGTTATGAACAGTTAGTGAACTATACAGGTGTAGATACATATGGTCAGTATAATAATGCAGACGAATACAATACTATATCAAAAAACCAAGAAGAAACTGAAATTAATTCACAAATTGAAGAAGTCAAATCTGACTGGATAGATGAAAATAACAAATTTATACCTAAAATTATTGTGAAAAAATTAGCAAAAATGGAACTGAGTCTTCTAACTTTAAAGATTGATAAAGATGTAAGTTTATTAAATCTTAGATTATTGATGACAATGATGAATTAGGTTATATAAACTTTATTTTAAACCATAAGGATTATGTCTAATGTCAGAACACCTTGAACTGGTAAAATGTTGTATTTAGTGAACAGTTGAACTTTGAGATATATACTTCGAAAGTGATTTTTATTTATTGTCACTTGTAATTGTTTTAAATGGAAAAAGGAACAAATAAATCGTTATCAACCAAAGATGTGAACTTTCTCGTGACTAAACAATCAAACGAATTACAGAAGGAAGTTATATGCCGATAAGCAGACACGTTTTTCTAACCACTCAATTAGGTTTCGGAACGACAAACAATTTAAACCGACCAATATATATGAAGGAAATCAAGTCAAATCATATGACTTGAGAATCTGAATAGAAATACAAAATGTATTGATGTTATTGGTCGAATCTTGATTAATGGTCGTTTACTTAGTTACTTGTATTTTCATGCTTAAATTTAATAAAAAAGATATTTAATATGTGGTTTTATTTTTCACTGTAAAATAATCTCTTCTTGAATATATTTCTTCTTAATTTTATTGTCTTGTTGATAAAGGACAAAGGACTAGTGCGAAATCTATTTGTAAATCAAGTATGTCTTATATACCAATAAACTGGGAATATAACTTTTTTTTGAGAATATATTTGATTGGTTGAATGTTGCGTTGCAGTGAACAGAACACGGGTGGGGACAATTAAATTGTATTTAGCATAAAATTACAGAGTTACTTGGTAAAATAAAAAAAACCATATAGTAAATCGTCAATTTGCAAAATATCAATGCATCATATCGACCTGAACTGTTTCTGTTGCAAACATCAATCCAATGTCTCACATTCCATTGTTCATGCGTTTTCTTACAAATTGCATTGTGTTGTCACGCTTCCTTTCTTGATCTTCCCCCATCTTCTGCTGCCAGATATTGTTTTTGACTCGCGTCATATACTACTTACATAAATATAAGTAGCACGCACCACAGCGTTCCCCACAATTCTTTTCGTTTGATATTCATTGTATTGATGGTTGTCTATCTTTATTAATTGAATTTCATAACGATTGTATGTGTATTATCACGTGTGATATAATGTCTGGTACTCACAATAAATTATCATATATAAATCTTTTAAACAATCAAAACAGTCAAGCTTTTTTGCAAGTCAAAGCATTTATCTCACATTTTAGTCAGGACTCTAATCGTAACAAGTTGAAATAAAATTATTCATGGTACAATGGGTTGTTATATACTTTTATTTGAGAAACCCATTCAGTTTTGGGTGGAATTTTGTTCTCTGAGTTGGATGGTTTGATCGTGGAGCTTTCATAGTTATTCTGAACAATATCGGCAAAAACTTTAGGTAGAATTGAAGTGTTTAAATTTCCCCACATATGGTTACATCTTGTCCTGTAGACCGCGATCTTGATTGGTTATAGTTGACCCTTAACCTGTCATTGTTCACATCTTTATTTTGATTGTATCTCCCATTGATTTGATTCTTGGACCTACGTTTGTCCATAATTTTTCTGATTGGTTGATAAGTTGGATCGATTTCAATGTACTTATCGATTGCTGACTGACCTGACTGCCAAGCTTCTAAAAAGTCTCTGGTGTTTTTAGAATAGCCTTTATCCAAGATCTCAACATTTTCCCATTTGAATGCGTGTTCACATGCATTGATATAAGCGAGGATATGTCATGGCGTATGATCGCTAGTTGATGTTTGTGGAGGTGAAGATGAAGAGGGCGTCCGCTTTGTTTGATGTAGTGTTTTTCGTAGTTGGAATAATTTATTTTGTAGATGGTGTTCGGTTTTTCTTCTTTTATCATTTCGTCCTTTGGTCTGCATAGTATTGATTGAAATGATTTAGTTGGTTGTGTGCTACACCTATTCCAGAAGGCTTCAACAATTTCGTTGTAATTTATTGAATAATCACTTTCTGAAACAGATTTCAATTTTGTATAATCAGTCAAAAATAAACTTTTATTTAGTCAGATTGATAACCGATCAGTTGTTACCTATTTATTTCTAATTAGAGTAACCTAAATGAGATTTGTTTGAGTATTTAGTGTGACGATAAATAAAAAAACGACTATTTGTTCCCCATTTATTAATTAAGCAAAATATTTATTAAGTTACTAAATTTCCAATAAAGACGATGTTACTAATTATATGGAAGCAGAAAGTGTAGGTCTAATGGACTAACTTAAGAAGTAACAAGAATATATTACACTGTTAAAGTTGATATCAATACGATTGATTTTATTTATCTTGTTTATCAACTGCAAATTCACATAATTAGCTTCAAACTATACTGATTTATTTAAATTTAAAGAATAATACTCATCTGTTCAAAATAATTTCATACTACTTGAGATATTTATTTTTACATAGAGGACTCGACAGTATGAAATCAAAAAATGAAATTCTATAATATAATGTGACTTATCAATTAAAATGAGCAAATAATCAAGGACAAAAAACTTTCGAACTGATAGGGTCAATTTGTAACTAAGTTTCGGTCACTAACAAAAAAGTTTTCAAACTTACACAAATTTTAAACAAATGTAAGTTTTATAACTTAAATCACTAAGTTAATTCAGTCCATTGATTTTTTTGTTTGAAAGTGTACGTTTATCTTTCGATTCTTTACTAAGTCTGTGACGATAATGACTTTATTTTTATAGCAGTCGAAGTTTCATCACTATATACTATTCAATTTAAGGAAGACAAAACAACTATGAGCTTAATTCAGGGTTGAAGATAACCTCCACTCCCGTTCTCAATTTAATCTTACACCCGGAGGCCAACCAAAATGAAGTGGGGAATTATTATTTAATAGTTGGATTCATGAGTCGATGCAAGCTAGACCACCACTGAAAACCTGGAAACACTGGACGGCCGTTTTGTCTTAGTATGGGACTACTCAGCAGCAGGCATCCACAATCTATCGTCTCTCAGTGTTTCGTAATGGAAAGAACCAAGCAGACTGTCCGCAAGTCGACAGGAGGTAAGGCGCCTCGAAAGCAGTTGGCTATTTAGGCTGTGCGCAAAAGCACCACGGTTACTGGGGGCGTGAAGAACCTTCGATCTCGCGCGCGAACGCTTCACATCTAGACCTTGTGAGCCGGCATCCAACAGTGTTGATGTCTAACTTCAATCGATCCATGAATGGTTGCGCAACCATTCATATATTGTCTGAGGTGGATAACTGTTTCTATCCGACACGGATTGGACTCCAATGTTCAAGCCTTATCACTAGAACTCTAGGAAATTCATCTTGAAACCAGTCACTAGTGGGCACATAATGATTATGATCAGAATGGATTTTGTGGAGAATGTAGTAATTCCAACAATTGGATTCATGAGTCGAAGTAAAGCGTTAGCTCGCGAGACAGAAGGTCCTGGATTCAAGCCCCGCGTGCGGGATCGTGGATGCGCACTACTGAGGAGTCCCATACTAGAACGAAACGGTCATCTAGTGTTACCAGGTTCTCAATTGTGGTCTAGCTTAGATCGACTGATGAATTCAAGTATTAAAATTACTACAATCTCCACAAACCCCATTCTGATCATAATTATTATTTACCCATTTAAAATTCATGATGGAGAGCATGTTTCCTTCTCTGTCGCTTTTCCTGGCTTGCATGTAAAATGTAAAGTATTCTACGACGAAAATATTTTTCGACCATGCCACGGACGTGTCAAGTGTGAAGCAGTCAGTTATGGTGGAAGAAAAATTACAACATAGAAAAAGACATACCTCCAATTAATTTTGTTATATTAATTATTGCAAAATATTTACAATTGATTGACTAAATAAACGAAAACATAACTGTGACTACTGACTATGATATACTCGGACGACTTAAAAACGTCAAGTTTATCCACACAGTCATTCTGAACCAAAATGTGTCTTTCGAATTTTTAATACTTAAATTAAAATTTATCTTTAGTGTTTTGCTAAGTATGATTTCAATTTGTCGAGTTATTTATAATTCAAATGAACTAAAGATATTATCTAATTTATTTAAACTGTCTCTGTTAATTCCAAAAAGCTTTTCAGAAATATAAAAATATATGAAATACAACTTTGTGATTCTGAAATTTATCTACTCTGGACCGTCCTCTTGTTATTGAATCGTTCTCAAGGAGATGAATCCTTGAATCAGGAAAATATTTTCAAACTTTCAGATTCAATGATGGCTGGTATTCATGAATGGATTGTAGATTATGATCCATTCGTTGGTGAACAACAGCTATTTACTTCACAAAAATCGCGGTTAAATGAAATCTATGAAAGTAAGTTATTAATAAATGAAGAGCTTGACCTTGTGTTGTTTTAGTTTTTATCTATATTTCTATGACAAGAACTCAAACATGAATCAATTTAGATAACCTATTCTACTACTGGAATAAAAAAGTTTAAAAAAATTTATGAACGATTCACTTTGTCTTGTTTGTTTGAATCATCCCATTGATGTTCAGGATTGCAATTGATCAGTCGTGGATCCCGCTGCTAGCCGCCATTCATCTTTGCTTATAATGCTTGTGACTTAAGGCAATATCGAGGCAATCCACATAGGATGCACATATCCCAACAAGATACTGGTCAATTGGAATCCTGAACATCAGTGGGAATGTTCGAACAAACAATACAAAACGAATTTACACTTCAACCCATTACACAAGATAGCGACTATCAGGACTCAATAGCTAGATGGACAGCGCGATGGCGTTTGAAGCGAACGGTATTACTTTAAAGTACCGGAGTGAACATCAACTATAGGATGTAGGTACATTTATCTGGAGAGTCCCAGGTAGGGTATAGCGCGCGTCCTAGACTCCACTGCTAGCCACCATCCATCTTTGCTTAGAATTAATGAACGTTTAAAAATCTTGTACAACCAGATCCCATGATAAATTTAAACAAAGCAAGAACAAGGTTTGAAGAATAGAATGAATCCATCATATTTCACCATTTCTCATCAGCTGCATGCGACTTAAAATTACAATTCTTAATACATGTATGATTATTAATTGGTATTAGCATACTTTGAATTTGTGAAGTTTAGATAAATGTTCGAAACATAACCAAAATCATAATAAGAGTGAAAAGAGTAGGTATATAAAATGTATGAACGAATGATGTATGGGCGAGGAAAATAATGATTAGTTTTTTAACTAGTCAGACTAGTAGGTAGTCTGACAGGTATTAGATGTGTTATATATTTCCCTACTCTTATAACTGTTGTTATTGTTGTCGGTTGTTGACGTGGAAATATACTCATGTTCTAGTCAAGCCAGTCACCTTGATCCGAGTTGTATCGACGTCCAGTAGAATAGACACTGACAGGGTAACCAGTATAAATATTCGTCTATGGCAAATTAGTGCTCCATTGGTGTAAGGGAGAAAACTGAATGTTATGCCATAAATGACGCAAGTTGGCAAACGCTAGTCGAGCCTTCTGTATCCGTGCTGAGATTTCGTCACACACCAGACCACGAAATCTCAGCACGGATACAGAAGGCTCGACTAGCGTTTGCCAACTTGCGTCATTTATGGCGTAGGCGAGATATCCGTCTATCAACCAAAGGACGGGTTTACTGCGCAGCAGTTCGTTCCGTCCTACTTTATGGCAGTGAAACGTGGCCGGTAAGAGTAGAGGATATTCGTAGGTTACTAGTATTCGATCATAGGTGTCTTCGAAACATTGCTCGTATATCATGGGACCATCGAGTAAGTAACACAGTTGTTAGGAAACGGGTATTAGGTAAGGATGGCAAATCAATTGATGACGTAGTGAAACTTCATAAGTTGAGATGGCTGGGACACGTGTTACGTATGCCCAACGACCGACTGCCTCGACGTGTGATGTTCAGTGGTATAGGAGTAGGTTGGTTTGTATTTTAGTAAGAGGACATTATTGTGTGAAATATTTTAATCCCAGTAGAAAAATGAGTTTAGTAGTCTTTTATTCAAGTCACCACCATTAAAATATCATTATATAAAAGAATCATACAGATATAAATTCCAATTGAAGTAAATAAGTATGTATCTAGTATTCCGCAACTTTCCAAGAAAGCTATTTCTGCAAAATATAAATAATAACTTTACATTGACAGAACATACAAATATTTTACAAGTACATTAATTTTCTTAGGAATATCTAAGTAATTTGCTTTTAATTTAATCAGCTAAAGAAATACAGCAGATTGTTTACATGTAGAACAAAAACACTGAAAGCTTTTACAAGTTTTGTTTTTTTCTAAGCTAAAACTTAAACGTTTCATTTAGAAATTTCAAGTGAACAATTAAAACAATACTCATGTAAATCAATGATCAATTTGTACGAATGGCTGACATTGTGCATGATTGTCTGGGAAGAAAATCTTCCTATGCATTATGGATAGAAAAGTCTTGGGACTGAAGTGACAACAATGAAAATAAATCGTTCAAAAAGAATTAAAATAAAGATCTAACGATCAATCAGTAATTAACAATAAAATGTTACCAGTTCAGTTGTAAAATATACAACTTTTATGACATAAATGCGTTGACTTTTAACCTACTAAAGACATTGTTGTGACTTTAAAGCTGGATAGTTATCACGTGATTTATTCGCCAATCGAAATACAACTTGTTCAACATTAGTACTGTAATAAACCAATGACATTCGGCCCGTATGAGCAGCTTAGTGTCCTTATTGGTTCTTTGTTCGCCTAGCCCGTCCAGCAGAGTCCAGAACACCGATAACAACTTCCACTACATCGATTATTTATTTCAAACATACTTGGTTTATATACCAGCCAAAAAGACCGCATCACACCACCAAACATGAAGTAGCATTCATACAAGATCAAGCCAAAAGGTGGCTCTGAACGTGGGAGACTGTAATCACTAAACTGAACATAACTTAAGAATAGTAAATCGTATAATAATAATAATCTATAGTTCAAAATGGAGCTTATAATAAGAGGAATATAGATATTACATAATCTAGTTACTGAACAGTTATACAATAAGAATATATATATCAGTTCATTAATAGTTCTCGGAATTTATCTATAATTTAATCTTCACTAGGATATAACAGATATTACATGAAATATTCTAATTGTATGGGAAAGCAAGGTTAATTATATAAACAGAATCTAGATCGTTGATTTTACGGATACTTATTGTATGCATCATGTGATAATTCACGTTACGAACATTACTAAAACTGTTTTGCTTAGAATGATCAATATAGATGAATTACCATCGCGTCTCAAGAAACATTTTGACAAAAGTATCTAAACCTTCCCACAAAGGTAATGAGATCTTATAGTGACAAAAAATGAATATGATGCCAAGACTTTAAAATCTAAAGGCCCAAGTAACCAAGCTAATTAAGGTCTACCTGCATACTCTTGTGTTTGAGGAATAGATTGAAATAAAATTTGAGGAAATCAAGAACAAAGATTTTAGTAGAACATCATGAATTCACTTTATTTCGTTTAGTTCTCGTCAGATGCTTACAAAGTGTGATATTTAAAAGCATAATTACAAAATGGGTTAAAATGACATACATGAAAGTTTAATTGTACGTTATTTTGAAGACACATCAGCATAGTAAATTTAATAGACTGAATATCATGAATATATGCCTTATGTAAAAGAACATTCCACAACATTGATTGTAACAAGAGTTAAAACAACCAGAAACAAATAATTACATAATGAGTAAGGCTGATAGGAATAAAAAGAGTAAAGCCCAGTTAATAAAATAAGATTACTAATCTGTAAGAGAGCTGAAATAAAAAACACAATGATGTAAAAGAACTTGCAACTAAACTCTTTTATGTAAGTAATTTTAACCCATTGTGTAATTATGTTTTTAAATATCACATTTTGTAAGCATCTGACGCGAACCAAACGAAATAAAGTGAACTCGTGATGTCCTACTAAAATCTTTGTTCTTGATCTCTTCAAGATGAAGGGAACTGTGTGTATGAAATAAAATTTTACACATTAACCGGAAACCAAAGGAATTTTAATTCCACTAAAGCGATTATTAAGCGGAGTAAGCGGATAGACTTTAGATGATATACACGCTCTTTTGTAGATTGCGTTCAATGTCAAATATCCAGGATACCATTGGAGTAACTAGAATATGTTGATGACGTCAAACTCACCCACCCCGCTTGTTGATGACAGTCTATTCACTAACGGGTATAAGAAGAAAAAGTGTCACGTCAGAGAACCAACCAGTAATATTGAGCTGTGAGCTCAATTGCTGTTTTGCATAGTTAATTGAAAAAAATACAAGATAAATTTTATCGTTTCTTCTAAAACTAACTGTTGGAAGACCGAATATTTGGTAATTAGTTTATTATTGTATTAAAATCCCCTACAGAAAAATCACTCGACGCGCCTAGAAGTCTGGCATGAGATATGCTATGTTGGGGGAAAGCACTTACAATGCAAATTTACCGCAATCTGTTAGCTGAATTCAATATAAATTAAAAGGTTAATTGCATGACCTGAAGGAGGAATAGGTTTGTTCCACATAGATCATGTTTCGGAAATCACAGAACTAGAAAATTTTAGAATCTTTACACGTTATGTTATTGGAACGAAGAAATCTAACGGCAGAGAATCCAAGTTTTACCTATAAACAACTCAAGTAAATGACAGTAGTATACTGGGTGTTAGCGCTTTAGTTTGAGAATTTGGCCTCAAGCTATATGACACTCATTCCACTGTATCTATGTACGCAGACACGAACTAGAGTGAAATTTTCGAATCTGGACATAAACAACGTTAGAAACGTTTTACATGCTTGACAATAAGTGCAATTATTAGTCAGAAGATATACTAAGAAAAATCTATCATTGCATGATGAAATTTTAGCGTACGAGCATCGACTAAAGTATACAAGTCAGCTACTTACCAAATATTTAAAATCATCAGATGATACTGAATATTTTACCATAGATTAATTCCATTTAAAGTTTTAGTTGACAATTTTGACTTAAAATATTGGATGTTAAATTATCTGCTCAGTATGTATATGGTGTTCGTCCAAAAGGGCGTGACTATTAAAAGTGTGCATACTACACTCCATCCCTTTGCTTTACGAATAATCAAAAGTGTACTTTTCTAGACGTATGACGAATAACTTACTTTCAACAAATGCTGTAATATTCCGGATTTAGTAACAAATTGTTATTTCTATCACCCTAGTCACGTTATCTTGTATGTCTATTTCACCGGCTAGGATAATAAAAGGCGTGCTTGTGTGTGTTGGGTTCCCAAAAGATCAAGAGTTTGTTAGACAATTCCAGGTAACCAAAAATGGCCCGCGGTTTAAAAAAACTTTGTATTTATTTGCTTTGGAACAAAATATTTGATTAAAGTTCAAAATTCAGTTGCATGTAAAGTCGACTAATTACTAAATATTTTGGGTTAACAATGAAGGACTTATTTAGTGATTCTCCCACAAATCAACTGAAGTTAAGCCAGCTTTTTAGCATCAGTGCCGATATTTCGCTAATCACAAACCCATCAGTTTCTAAGGATTCCAAGGTCGATAACGTAGACATATAAATCAACCTCAAAGATTAAACTGGTTAATGTTACAGACCAAAAACAAATTAAAGGTAAAGAGACGAATTGAAAAACTTTTATATTGTCACTTAAACACTAAAGAACTTAGTCTTAACGTCTTTTCCAAACATGACTGCGCCATAGGTGTACTTTGCAAAAATAGTTTATAACTATATTCTCCAGTTTTGATATCCTGTCAGATGTCAGATCATATAGTAGGGTGAATATTTTTTCGACATCGATTTTCTCCGCGTTTTACCATCACAGAAGTGCTAAGAGACCTGGGAGCACAAACTTCATCAAAATCCAAAAAGAATGAATACTGGCTGAAAGTTATCAGCCTGCATAGGACTCAACAATCTTAGGTAACTAACGTGAAAATTTTTTATATAACTTATTTCAAGTTACTATTTGACTGATAATAAGTTTGATAAACACCGCTGTTAAAAGGTAAACAGGATCTATCAACTGATTAGTAGAAAATACTTTAGTCATATACTGTCTGGAAAACAACTTTCTACTGATACACTACAGAACATAAGATAAAAAAAAATTACCTCGCGCAAAACGAGCAGTCAATAAGGATTTGGCGGGAATATATATATTTTTTATTGATACGCTTGAAAAATTAAGTAATTAGGAACATAAAAGATAGCTACAATAAAAATGATAATGATAAAAGTATTTATTGTGATAATCAATGCGATTATCGTAATTGATTGTGTACAAAAAAGCAAGTATCTTAAATGAGTAAAAATTAAAAGAACGATTGGTCTGGCGCATCATTTTCCAATCTTTTCTGTACACAATAAACAAGATAGGAATAAATGAGATGTGTTTGTATACGCATGCATCATGTGTATTATAATTGTAATTAATCCTCAACTGATTCGAATTGAGAGTATAACGATAAAATTTGGTAAACTGAAATTCGTTGTTTTCAAACTTCATCCTTATACATTAAATAAACTGTTGATCATCGTGTTAAACCGATTGCGGAAGCTAATGAGATCAGGATCAATATGGAGATAACAACAACCAATATAATACAGATTATTTTGCACTAAACCAGCAATTAGTTGATTGATATTTAGTGATCCACATAAATTGCAGTGTGACAAAGAGAAAAATATATTGAAGAAAAATAACAACAATAACATCAACAAAGGCACAGTAAAAACGAACAACAATAAGAAATAGACAACATATACAATACAATAGCTACCTTGCATTACAAACATTTGTATTTTATAGAGGTCATTCTTATAACATATGGTTCATTCCGTTGTTTCCCGAAAACCCGATACGATAAACAAGCAAGAGACCATTTCACAGAGTTCAAATCCAAGGTATATGATAAATAAGGCTTACTTTAATTTCTTCAACACATGTGTACTACATACAATAAATGAGTAAGATAAATCTTTTTAAATCGTAAATAAACAACTACGCTGTGTGTAAAGCATTCCAGATCTATTACACTACTATTAACAATGTAAACGAGATCAATAACTCACACATACACTGGTCCAAGCGATTTGTGTGGCCCATATATATATCATGGTGCCCCATTGAACCAATGTTTACATGTTTAAATAAATAAAGAATAAACGTCATTTAATGTTTCCAGACACTAGCTGCGATAATCGCGTGGACTCCAGATCGGTAATCTGCACCTACCTAAATGAATCAGTTCAACAGTCAGCATTTTAATAAACTGATGCCCTGTTTTTCTTTTAACCTAATACCACATCGACCCCCATTGTGCATTGAGGTAAACAGCTACTGAGCGTACATAATACATATCCTAACTATTTCAATCAATTAGAATCCACTACTACTACCTAGTCAACTATGGCTTCAACATTCCTCACTCAGTGATAACAACGCACACAAGTAAGAACATCTATGATATAAAACTAGAAACCTACAAATATTCTCCAGTGAGGAATGTAATTGTGGTCGAAAAGTGCGTCTATTTTCTAGAATCTGCGAAGGGCGAATATTTGGTTGATACATCCGCTTCGAGGTTTGATACCAGCCTGGTTTTCTCGGGTCTGCTCTTTATCAGACTGATTAAGCATCCGATTCTTATTGAATCTAGTATTTTAAATAGTCAAATTGATTCCTCTGTGATTGTCACAAAATGACTTTTGTCATTTCGTATAAACTGGGACGATCAGAGATCCAAATCAGTCATATAGGATTACGTCTAGACCCCAGATTCTAGCTGAGATCTCAGTCAATTTAAATACCACACTTGGACCACCACTTTAAAGAGTTCTGGGGCTGGTTCATCTGAACAAGCTACTTTCCCAGGCTTTAGATTAATTACTTTCATGATTGAATAACTATTTCTCTAGTTGTTTCTGAAATATACTGCTGAGATTTTCAGCGTTAAGCTGAACTCTATGTGAATTCCTTCAATGACTTTCCCAAATCGAGACACAAACACGTGCTTGCACTAGACTACAGGGCAGAGAACAAATACGTGTTTTGGAGTAAAAGGAAGTCTTTAATCAAGCCTCTACAACGATGGCTGAAGGCCATGTAATCTGTTTGAGGTTATCAATGAGACAATCCCGAGGGTCTATATGGCAGACGATATCTCCCTTGATGTTTAAGGTTGGTTGGAACAAACGGTTGTCTGAGCATAGTTGCAAAAGACGATTGTCTTTATTTGTATGCTGAGTTGCAATATTTACAACCTCGACCGTAGCTGCTACCTTGACGTGGTGATCAGGCTTGCCTATCATAATGACCCAACCGAGATACATTGGAGGGAACATATGCTACTGTAGGTCCTACCATGCCAGGCAGGTCGATTGGAGAATGGTAAAACTAAAAGTAGCAAATCCAGGTCTGAGAGCGAAGTCGTACTGCTGACTGTAAAGGGATCTCACAGCAGTAAGGTGTTTCCCCCGCACAACCAGCATCTGCAGGGATGCTGCCTTCTCACACGGAAGGGTGAGGTTAGAAAAGGTCGACCCTAAAAATGTCACACCTCACCTTACCTCACGGATTTCCGTCTCCGGCGGTAACGCCTTTTGAAAAGCAGAGCTAACACGTTAAAAACGTCCCTGAGGCGGCCCGTGATCTGACTCCAATTCAGATTGTATGAGTGAATGTTTGCAATCGCCTATTCTCGTATATCATCGTCGACTTAAATCACGTTAATCAATAACGGAATTTAGATAAGTCAATTAACGAGAATGGCCTTTGAATACATATATTTTGTATGTAAAGTGAATGCAATAGAACAGAGCAAAACGACGCGCAGGGAAGATGGCTGGGAAGCCAACTCCATTTCAAGCTAGGCATTACTTAATATTTATAGGCGGACAAAATAAACGACAGACATGTGATAAGTCACGGGACATGAAATGTACACACATACGCTCATATGAAAACAGTCAAGACTAATAAGCGAATAATTGACAAGGTCAAAATATGACTCAAGCAGAATGAATAGAATGAAATGTCCGAAAACTAGAATAAGATATTATGGGCTAAAACTAATGACTAACACTACATCCCACAAAAAAGGTGTGCGCGACCGGCCTCAAGCAGTTGTCCCTTGGGCTCTGTGGCCACGCTCGCCGGTCCTTGAGACCAACACTAATCCAACTTCCTCAAGAAATACCCTTCCACGGTGTGGGCAACCGAGAAGTGACATCAGCCCTCATACCCGTAACAACACACGAGATCAAGTTGTTCACAATCAAATGCTTCCGAAACTTCCTAAAAACTCTCTTATCTCTATGACTAACCCTTCTCACGTTCCTTTATCACCTCACACCGCTAATGCAAACGATTCGAGTACGCGGAACGTTATTCCCGATCTTCTGGAACCACGCTCTAAACTACATATAGGAGCTTATAGCGCCCGAACACTGACAAATAGGACAACAGGCTTCCTTAGTTAGGACTTTAGAATCTCGCGCCACCGATGTGTGCTATGTTTCTGAAACGCACATGCAAGATTAGAGTAGCGTCATACATTTGAGCCCATCATATCAAAATGAAGAACCATCTCGATCCACTATTCGTGTATATGGAAGTCCTGATACTGCTTCTCGTGGCCTCACTGGTGTTGGTATAGCATTAAGTCCTAGGGCAGAACTAGATCTGTTAAACTGGATCCTATGAGACACTCGATTGTGAGCTGTCCGACTAAATGGAACAGAAAGGACTCGGAAGAATAGGGACACTCGTCGTTGTCTCTGCCTACTCTCCCACTGACTGCAGATCAGATAATGTAAAGGATGAGCATTACAGAAAGCCTTCTGACCTCCTCCAAAATGTTAGGCGCTCTGATGTAGTAATAGTGGCTGAGGACTTTAATGCTCAAGTGGGTAAACTAAGCGAAAGAGAAAGACACCTGGGTGGATCTTATGCTGTTGTGGCTCAAAGAACAGATAATGGCGACCGGCTTTTGTAGCTATGGTGAGATAATCATCTGTCTCTAAAAAATATTAACTTTAGGCATAAGGAAAGACATCTTCTGAAATGGCGACCCCCAAATTCGTTGGCAAGCTGGACGTGGCTGTATAGATTACATATTCACACTAAGTCAGGTCCTAGAACACAGACACATATTCAGACACCTCACAATCGTAGTATTTTTCGACCTTAAGGCGGAATTTGACTATGTTGATCGTGAGGTTCTATGGCAGTGTTTTTCACTAAAAGGAGTACCAAAGAAAAAAATTAACCTTGTAAAGGCTCCGTACTAGAACACAATTGGTCGAGTGAGAGCTTATGGCGAACTGTCATCAAAATTGATTACCTCAAGTGGTGATCGTCAGGGCTGTCCACTCTCTCCATTCTTGTTTAACTTCGTAGTTGACGTCCTTTTAGAGATAACACTCTCCTCATCTAAATTTCCAGGGGCTGAACTTCTACCGGGAGGTTCACTTGTTGACTTAGAATATGCTGATGACATAGTTTTATTTGGTGAAGACGCTGACAAAATGCAGAGTCTTCTGACCACTCTAAGCAACAATGCAAGCATGTTCGGGATGCGATTCTCTCCCTCGAAATGCAAAATGTTGCTTTAGGATTGGGTAACATCGACACCCGAACTAGTGATAGGGAGTGAAGTAGTTGAGTGTGTCGACCGCTTCACTTATCTTGGAAGTCTCATCAGCCCTTGTGGTCTGGTGTGTGACGAAATCTCAGCACGGATACAGAAGGCTCGACTAGCGTTTGCCAACTTGCGTCATTTATGGCGTAGGCGAGATATCCGTCTATCAACCAAAGGACGGGTTTACTGCGCAGCAGTACGTCCCGTCCTACTTTATGGCAGTGAAACATGGCCGGTAAGAGTAGAGGTTATTCGTAGGTTACTAGTATTCGATCATGGGACCATCGAGTAAATAACACAGTTGTTAGGAAACGGGTACTAGGTAAGGATGGCAAATCAATTGATGAAGTGGTGAAACTTCATAAGTTGAGATGGCTGGGACACGTGTTACGTATGCCCAACGACCGACTGCCTCGACCTGCGATGTTCAGTGGTATAGGAGTAGGTTGGAAGAAAGCTAGGGGCGGCCAGACCAAAACATGGCACAAGTCCATGAAGTCACTGACAAGTGGTCTGAGTCATGTTGGTAGGTGTAGACTACCTGGTTGGGGACCGCGAGATGATAGCAACCGATGGTTAGAGACCCTGAATGACATGGCTCAAAATCGTTTGCAATGGCGCAGGTGCATCCACTCTTTGTGTTCTCCCAAATTCTAATCTCCTGAATTCTTTGTGTCCCTTTTCTTTCGCTTTCCAAATTTATTTCACTGGATTATGCTACATGAATAACAACTTCAAACCCTAATCCTTCCGATTACTGGTTATACTCGTATGACCTCTACCAATACGGGATTTGAATCGACAACTGCATCTTTGTGCTAATCTGGCAACTCGAATTGATGTACGTACGTACAAAGTTCTACGTTGTTAACTGACTGACTGAAGGGCGAGTACAATGTGTAGCGGTTCTCTTCCTATTAGTTCATGACTGTAAAACATAGTTCATGAAAGCAGAGGACTGGCGTAGGTCACGAACTTTAGGTAAAAGGCATCTCTGAAGCATTGTTGGTGTATCGTACAACGACTGAGTGATCAGTAGTGAAGTTAGAACTGAGATATCAAACAACGATAATAAATCAATTGATAAGAGTATGAATCTCCACCGACTAATGAACCTGGGACACGTGTTATGCATCTCTGACCATTTCCCACATAGATGTGGAATGTTTAATGGGGTAGGAGGGAGTCAAAGGAAGTTAGAGCGGTCAAATCAACAGTTAAGATTAGTTTATAAGATCATAAACCGTTAGATTGAGTTAAGTTTATCTGTGGAAGCTACCATGCTAGACCCTACCCAATACTCATAATTAATGACTGACGACTTTGGATAATGCATCACAAAATGAGTCTCAGACATATTCATTCTGTAGACTACTCATTTACACATTACAGTCATCTGCTACCACCACTACATCTAGACATCCAACTTTGTAGAGGATGGAAAGCTTCTATAAATATTGTCTTTTACTTCATCCGAACTACAATTTGTGAGAGCAAAGTCAGAGACAATGAGGAGAGAACTTCCTATGTTCCTGTTTTTTTAATTCTTACTGTTCCGTTTAATTGAACAGTGCACAAGCGATTGTATGCTGGAATCCCACCACAGAGCCTACTACGCTTTTGAATTTAAACCTATATTTTCGCTAGTGAGGCAGCTAGTAGTAGCGCCAAATACCCAGATAAATGAAGGGTAGACCGCGCCGGCTCCGCTTATTAACTAGGTGAGGTCAGGGGAATGACCAAACTCAGATCTTGTATGCGTGTTTCAGAGATAGAGCATGAATCGACACCACGAGATCTTGGAGTCATAAACTAAAAACATTTGTTGTTTGACTAAAGATACGGTCCAAATATTGAGAGCTTCGAAATGAAGTTTAGAGCGCTGTACAAACATCTAAACATTGGAAGAATATACATAATATGATGTTGATCAAATTCAGTTTGACATTAGATTGATAGAATTTCAGTATTGTCAGTACTTAATACGGATGTTAAAAAAGTAATATAGAAGACACTAAATCAAATCCAACGGTACCAAAATGAAAAATGCACTAAACCAGGAATTCACAGTAAACTAGAATTCGATGTATTTTAATTACTTATCTACGTATTTAGTGAAATAACAATATCTCTGTTATAAATGAATGTAACTCATTTGCCAATAATAAGTACTTATACCTAAGTCTTACTTTACGTGTGAAAGCTAATAGTACAAATCGGTAGCCCAAACTGGAGTTCGTGTTCAGAAATCTGAAACTGATACATGATCACTGGGATTCAGACGCTCAGATTAAAAGTAGTCACCTAAGTACTGATCTCTTTTCTGCTATGCTATCAGTTTTACTTCTAAAAATGTAACAGACAAATAAAACTACACTGAACAATGAAACGAATTACAAGACAAACATAAAGATATTTTTATAGACTGAAAGCCAACGAAAACAAACCGGATAGCACACTCTTCAATCAAAACTCAGTAATTAGGTAAGATTATTGATGTATACGGCCATGATTTACACAATTCATATACACACGGGTCCAGTTGTTGAAGTTAATGAGAGGAATAGTGAAGAATCTGACAAACAGTTGACTGAAAACACAGTTTAGGGAAGCTAGCAACAATTTCACGGCAAAAAAGTAAATGAAAATGTTCACTTACGCGACGATTTTTCTTATTTCTGATTACGGCTGATGAAAGGGTACGCTTTGAATTTACAACACAGTCAGATGCCTTGTTCAAATTGTATTCAACCTGGTCGACTAAATCACCCTAATATAAAGAGCAAAAAGTAGCAAGAAAATAATGGGGATAATTGCTTCAAAAATAGTCCGAGTTAAAAGTTTAAAAAGTTATATTTTGTAGTAAAACTTGAAATTCATCGTATCAAGATATATGGGAGCAAAACTTTAATGCTAACGTATCAGCAAACAAGACTATTCAGGAAATAGACATCACAAGGCATAGTGAAGAACTTAATTCATCTGATACGAAATGAAGAGATCGGGAGATTAAGCAACTCCATAGGGCTTTGAACTTACAGGGACTGAAATGGTTAGGTTTTGTTACGAATTCTAAGTAGATGCCTAAGAAGATTCGTGGTTCTAATGACGACTGGAAAACAATGATGATTATCAGATCAAAAATGGCATCCATCCATAAAATCAATGGTTGTTAATCCGAACTATTTATAGGTGTTCAGTTTTCTCGAAAACTTAGTAAAACATAAAAATTTCAGTTAATACTATTAACATCTGATCAGAGGTGTACATCCATCTAAACTAGCGAATGTCTCATTATTCAACATTTTTTTAAATATTACAGTTCTATACCGTTACTTTTACTACCTCGACTAAAAGTTTACAGAGTATCGTAACCCAAACGTACTGATTCAAATTGTTAAACCAGTAAATTGTCAGAAAAACAACAGAAAACTAGTCCATAGTTATGTTATATTACAAACGACATCCATTCAGGGGACTACTAGATGCTTTTAAGTAAATTATCTTATTCCTCGAGATACAACGATGGCTCCCAGAAAGCAAACACAGTAATATAATACTGAATTCGCAGATCAAATGTGTGACTAAAAATTATGAGAAGTAGAGCCTATCATTATACAGAAATTGTAGTAAAACATGTATAGACTTAAAAGAGATTACCTGTTGGTCAACTAGAAGAGCGACATTGAAGAATAACTCTTTCATCTCCTGGATACTTTTTTCGAGCCGTATAATGTCTGCATGACGAGCTTCGATATCCGATAATGATCGCTTCGCAGCTTCTGTTTCAGCCATAATCTAATTTGAGAAAACTATCTATGAGGCATCGTATGAAGAAAACTTATGATCAAAATACTCAGAAATTTACCAAACTTTACAAGGTTGAAAGCAAACATAAGGAGACAAGATAATGCAGGTTGATGGGTCAATTGTGATTTACACAAATTGAGGGTTAAGAAAACAATTAGTCTGTTACAATATACATGAGTAGAGTTAAGTCAAAACTCGAAACTCAATAGGACAAAGAATACAAATCAAATTTAAATGTACTTATGCTTCAACTAAGAATGAACAACTACTGAGATACTACTATTGTTGAACGAAGTAATTTATTTTGCTATTTGTAGATTTGAATAAAGTAAAAACAACAAACTTAGCAGAAAAAACGAACTACGCTATTTTGTGGTTTCTGTACAACTGTTAACAATCTAGAAACAGTGGTATTAACTATTTAAAACTAAAGTACATATACATAATAATGAAGATTAGCAAAATAAATGCGATAAATATGGAAGGAATCTAAAAACATTTCGACAGTCGAATATTTATACATTAGCAAGTGTCAAAATAGTAAATAATTTTTAACATACAAAGAGACTAGCTTTTGGGTACATCGGTTATTTCGACTATCTTGTAACGACTTCGGTTAAATGTAACCAATTCAAAACAGTTTGAAAAAATGTTTATTCTGAACGATTTTGAAATATCGAAGTTCTGTTTACTAGCAAACAGAAGACAGTCAACCGCACAGTTGGAAATACGTTAGCCCTTTGGCCTCATTTATTATGGAATGTGCTCTGAGATGCGGACAAGAACCTTACTTTCTGTCCTTTCAGTGTAAATCCTTCGGCATCTGATAAATAGTGAGAGGTAACATGAAGTTGGAATTGTCTGCCTCAGTGAGAAATTCGTCTGATACAAAGAGACAAGTTCAACAACTGGATATGTCCCCTTTAAAGCAACACATAGTCTACGATTAATCATAGCAACCACCTCATCATTTTTGGAGTTAATTCTTCAAAACAACTGGCTTTTTTAACTGAAGCACATTCTATTCCTGTGGTCCTTATTTTCGCATACCTACTGACGAACTTATGTAGATAGCCATTATCTTGTAAACACCTTTAAACTATGGTTCGTTCCTCTCCAACTTTTAACTCTGAACATAGTTTCAGTACGTGGTTAGACAGTTTGATAGCCAAAGCTCTTGTGTCGCTTATTGCACAGGAACCTAAAAATCTATACAAAACCTACTCTGTGCTCTTTCGATGAACAGATACTTCTGTTAGGCCGTTTGCATTGCACTGAATACCAGTATTATGTTTCTACTCCATTGTAAGCTTTATATCAGGGTGAGGTTTACTGGGAGCAGTCACTATACAAAAAACGTGTTTATAACTATTACAAGTAACAAATGTGTTTATTTTATTTGCTTTCATACCTTTGTTTGTCAATCATAACAACATTAGAGACTTCATTAGGTTGAAGAGTGACGATATTCTTATTTTGCATTGAAATAAGAATTTAAGGTTATTGTTTACTAAAATACAATATACAGTCTTCATTCAAATATATGAAACATTGGTTTCCTGTTATTCCAAGACAGTATGATACTAAAACTTCATACTACGAGTAATTCTACCGTGGTAAGTCAGCAAAACAATCAATTAGTAATTTATACTAACAGTATTGAAGCAAAACGGAATTACAGGTGGTTGGTTGAAGGTAAGACATTATCGAGACAAGACGCACATTGTTGCATTTAGCTACACTTAGAAATTTATTGTAAAACTGCTTAGAATTTCGGTATTCAAAATGACGACGAACAAAATTTAGCCTAAAAAGTCAAGTAACTTACAGCCTGTGTAAAAATACCCGTATGGTTTTTTTCTAACATCTTTTCAACCTCATCTTCCGAAAATGAGACTTCAGCTGAAAAATATTTGAACTTCTTTTGGAAACGGAAGAGACACTTACCGATACGGAGCTTAGTTCGAATTCGAGCCTTACACTTGTCACGATAATCTACTTGTAGTTGACTATAATTGTTCATAATGTGAACGAATTGTCGAGAAATAGCAGCATGCTAAAGTGAAAGCATAAGATATCCCAAAACCAAAACCTGAGATGACTTTAGACGACATTTACCAGATAATCCTGACAGAAGTTTATCATCTTCCTGTTGCCCTAATTCTTAGAATGTAGACGATCCCAGTCAAGAAAAAAGAATTTACCTTTCAAGGAACTCCGAATTTTATGAGCCCTCTCTCGGATGGAATTAGTGAGCTCACTAAGCTGACTATCCAGTTCTAAAACCATAAAAGAATAAATAACATTACTTGGATCTTGTTGAGGTGTAGCCAGTATGTCTTTTTGTAGCCTGTCAACTGCATTAATATCTTGCCGTAAATTATCAATATCAGAGTGAAGTTCATTGACCTATTGACAATAAGACCAACAAACACATTTACCTGATCGAAAACAGCAGCATGTAGTTGAGAAAAGTCAAACTCAGCCTTTTTCCTGGCATTTTTATCATTTCTGACCTTTATACGCTATAAACGCAAGAAACAATAAAAAATTTTTTAACAGGACTACAGCTTCTAGCTCAGGCAGTCGGTCTTTAACCATCAAAAAGTTGAATCCAGGAAAATCGTAATACGCAGTTTACCAAATAACTACGAACAAGGGGCCGATACGTGATGAAAAGGTACTTCTTACGCTCAGAACGTTTACAATCTACATGGGAAAAACAAATAAAAAACGGAAAAACTGAGTTCACATGCAAAACAGTTAACAAACAAGTTTAAGAAAACATACTTTTATGTTAGAGAGCCAGGTGCTACTTAAGCATTGTCTGGGTTAGTCCGAAGGCCCTAAAACATATATTGGGTGCTTTATTTCTCTTATGTAATGAGCTATTGCAGCGCATGGATAAATGTAACTTCCAAGATGTGGAAGTTTAAGTGCATTTTCGAAGATTCTGTGGACCTAATGTCTCGTCGTTTACCAATCGGTTTTCAAATTACATATACGTGGTTTGACAAAAATATATGCAAACACTGGTTCCAAAAGATTTTAACTTAAAAACTAGAAAATAAACATTTGGAAAATGTTGTAAAGAATAAGACTATCTAAAAAGCAAGTTTAAATCTCACTTTTCATCGTTCCATCAGTAAAATAACTCGGATCGATAGCAATTCTACGCTTTTAGATTGTTAGTCGCATAGTTCGACTATGAATAATTTACCAAGACTGCAACTGTCATAGTATATGAAAAAAATATCTTCAGAATAAAAATATATCTTCCTGAACTAGTAGTAACTAATTTGAAATCAGTGTTCAGTCATCCAGGACGTAGGACGTAGGGCATATACATGCATCGATTCAAGTTGTCACACCTCATTAGCACCTAATTCATTAACGCCAAATTCGCGGAAGCAGTTACTTTGGCGATAAAAAAATTCATATAAGCATATGATACACGAAGAATTAAATCGTAGAGAGGTATTAAGTAATTTTAATTTCACGATTTAAGGGAAGACAAAGTGTATAAACCTATGCTATTGTAGTCGATTCTGAGTCTCCAACCACTCGTTACGATAGGCGCGCGGACCCAAACCAAGTAGTCTGCATCTACCAACATGGCTTAAACCAGAAGTTAGTGACTTTATGAACTGATGCCAAATTTTGATTCGGGCGCATATAACTTTCTTCCAACCGTCTCGAACACCAGTCAGCATCGCGCGCAGTCGTAGACGGTGCTTGAGCATGGGTATTGCATGTCACGCAACTGACATTGATTCTAATAATTTCATCTTGCTATAATAATGTAGTGTATTTGGTTGAACCGTTACACATATACAAGGTTCTGATTCTGGTTTTACTGACTGACTGATATTTGATGTACAGTGATAACCTCGAAAACTCGGGTACAAAAGAGTGAGTAATTTGCTATCCCTAACGAAATGTTTATATACGGATACATATTGACAGTCATTGCCAGGGAGATCCTACTGCTCGATAAGGCGAACAAAACATAGTGCACATCAGCACCAAGACACAAAAGAAACCCATGGCGCATGACCTTATTCATCAAACACTACTGGATTTTTTCTCGAGGCATTATATATATGCGACTGAGAATTCATTAAAAAGTCAAGAGATATTGTAGTATGAACTGGCAACTAGATTAAGTAAATGAATCATCTACACAAAGGAAAATTGTTTTTGCTCGAAAGAGCAACGTGTTGGCTGAATGTTTTATAAAGTTTACGGTACGATGTAGCCTTTTGTTTTACTCTCCACGGCATTAAATACATTTCAGTCTTAATAAATCCATTAGGAGTTTCAATATGTGACAAAAGAACACCCCCCTTTCCACGGTGTGGGCAACCGGGAAGTGATAACCACCCTCATACCTCTAACAGCACTCAAGACTGACTGACTGAAAAGAACATCCCAGTGCTGTTGAATAACACCAGAAACTCGTACATTGGCTGGACGAGTTCACTGTGTGGCAGTTTCCTGTGTTCTATTTCCTAGAAGTGAAACATGGTCATTAACAACATAGGATATTCGCAAATTACTAGTATACGGTCAAAGGTGCATTTGAAACATTGCACATGTATTTAAGGACCACGGACTAAGCAATGCCTGAGTTAGGAGTAGGGTACTAGGTAAGGATGATAATTCAATTGACGAGTTGGTGATCTCCATCAATTTAGATGGTTGGGAGATGTGCTACGCATTTGGTAACCACTGCTAACCTCAATCATAGATGTCTAATGTAAGAGCAGACTGTAAGAAAGCTAACAGTGGCCAAACCAAAAAAATAGCACTATTCTATAAAGTCGCTGGAAGTTGGACTGAGTCATGTCAATAGGTGTAGACTACTTAGTTGGGGTACGTGTGATTATCGTGATCAATGGTTAGGGACTGAATGATAAAGTTCAGAACCGTTCACAGTGGTGTAGGTTCATCCATTTTGTTTGCTGTGAAAATCTGAGCTTCTGAGTTCATTACTTCTTTTGGGTAATTATTCCACTGGTTTACATTTTCTCGAATTCTAATGACTAGTCCTTTCACTCATCACTCATACTGTTAATACCTCTACTATTCTGAGATTTAGCCATACGATTTCATCTATCTGTACTAATGTACATATGTATGAGATTCTAAGTTGTGACTGACTGAGGAAATAAGACCAAGGTAGTAGCCGCTTCCTAAAAACCATGGAGTTTTTTAATGAAGGATTTTCTTGAAAAACAATGACACTTAGGAAACTGAGAAAATATCTCGATGTACAATAAAAAGGTAAAACTAATTCCCTGCAGCTTCAATTAACCAGTGGTCATTTAAACGTGTTAAGCCTACACGCGGACATAAATCCCAAGTTCCCAATTTTGTGGGGGAATTCGGCACATTTTGAGGAAGTCGATACAGTATATGTTGAGAAAATTTTAGGGAAATTGCACAAAAACCCCAAAATTTCAAGCTCAGGATGGTATTAGCGCGTTTGGCACGACAGACCTGATGTTTCAAGATTCCATGATTACTGTGTGGATACCATAGCTTGTTTGTATGATAACATTTTCGAAAAAGAATCTACTCAATTTAAAACGTAGCTTTTAAGTGTACGTTCCCCGCTATAACGAACAAAGTTGTGTATTTTCCGGTGCAAAAACCAGTTTCCCTCAATCCTCAAAATAAATAATAAGTAACAATATTTCCATGATTGTTGATTGAAATCCCCAAATGATAAGCATCTGTCATTTAAAATGTGTAATTAATGATTAATATGAATTAAGCATCGAGATGTCCCGAGGATAAAAAAAAACGTATCAGGATACATAGAACGAAAAAAACTAAAAGTGAAGTCTGAGAACCAATCTTCCAAATATAAAGAAATCGGGTAGTAAACTAAACGAATTTCGTGTTTCCCATTTAAATGCCAAGTATGAAGCGATCAAATGTAATGAGAACTTTCTAATTCACTAAACTATGACACACCAGTAGCACGCTTACCTGTAGTGATAGTCTGCAGGAAAATATTTTACACAACCGGAATTTGGCCGCCAAGCAACTTTTAATCATGAAGGCACTGAGCAATTTCGAACGGTAATCCCATGTTTTCAATTAGACACATTATGGTTTCAAATTATGCGACGATATAACATTTAAAATCTCTTCCAGTATTATCTATTATTCATGATTCTTCGTGTAATACACTGTCTCATTACCGTCCAAAGTTTGTTTTACGAGATTAAAATTGTTCAAAAAATTCAAACACGTTTTGCAGTTATCGATTAACGCATGATTGGAACAGATTCACAACGTTTACGAGTTGTTGAGGATAGCTTAGGAAGTATCAAGGTTCCTTTAGAACGCTACTATGGCGCACAAACTGCTAGATCTCTCGAGAACTTCAATGTCTGCACAAGATCGGACACAATGCCAGTAAGTACATGTCTATTTTAATGACTTTCTCAGTTGCAAATAGTCTATTCTCTAGCTATGATCAAAGAAGTTGCTGCTTGTACAAACTTTAAATTCGGTAGAATAAGTTCCGAAATCTCAGACGCCATTGTAAAGGCCTGTCGCGAAGTATACCATGGACAGCATGACAATGAGTTCCCTCTTGTTATTTGGCAAACTGGTTCTGGTACTCAGACTAATATGAACGTCAATGAAGTTCTTTCGAGTAGAGCTAGCGAACTGATTGAAGGTTCACGCAGTTCTAAACTGACTGTTCATCCCAACGATCATGTTAATCTTGGACAGGTTCGATCACCTTTATCATGTACTGTCTTTTTAAGAGTTCAAATGATATTTTTCCCACTGCCATGAATCTGAGTATTGCAATGGAAACTGTATGGAAGGTTCTTCCATCTTTGAATCACCTCATAAACGTACTTAAAAGTAAGATGCATGAATTTATGGATGTTATCAAAATTGGAAGGACCCATATGCAAGTAATGTCGTCACGATGTTATATATTTAGTTTAGGATGCTGTTCCAATAAGCGTTGGACAAGAATTGAGTGGATACGTGAGTCAGCTTCAGCAGGCAGTGGATTCAATTAAATCACAATTACCGTTGATTTGTTATTTAGCTGTTGGTGGAACTGCCGTGGGAACTGGGCTAAATTGTTTTAAAGGTTTCGACGAGGAACTGTGTGTGGGCTTAACACAATTAGCTGATCGTCTTTACAGAACTGTAAGTGTAGTTTTCGAAAATTCCGAAATTACTTTCCCACACTTCATAACTGTTATCTAAATGTAATAACTCGCTGCTATTAATTGTAGATATTTGATATTGTTTTTGGAGATACTGACAAAAGAATGATATTTTTAACGTCAACAAAAAGCTTTTAGTTTTGAACGTTGGACATTTGTGAGAATCAGTGATCAGCTTTCAAACGGCCAGGGAAGGACGAGCAAACTTTATCCTTTTAAATTTAATTTAAGCTGCCCTCAGTACTTTTTCCAGCATATGTGAGTCACCTTTTAAAACAAGGGCCTGCAGCCTGAACTCAGTTTTCAAGCTTAGTTCTCACTAAGATTGTGTATAGTCTAGTGAATATGGTAGTATCTAACTTCGTGAATGTCCGTCTTAAAGCCTACAGAGTTCTAAACCACTTGCCTGCGACCTCACGGCAGTGGGTTGTGGTCTCATGACTCACTGTCAACCCAAGATCCTTGTGAGGCCGGACTACGGGTACAGGCCCTTACTCTATGCTGTACCTTTTTATTTTTGTATCCCTAAAGTGTATGTACACACACTTTGCCGCGTTGATAGTCATCAGCCACTCTTTAGACCGGTTAATCAAAATATTTAAGTCTGCTTGAAATGGGCACGCATCTGCATCCCTGTTAATTTTCTCCAGATTTTTACATTGTCAGCGTATAATAACATTGGAAACTGTATTATACTCGGGAGATCATTTACATAAAGTACAAAAAGTAAAGGACGGAGGACAGAACTTTGAGACACTTCACTAAGTACTAGTCTCCAGGTGGAACACTTTGAATTTATTCATACTTTTAGTCTACGATCTACTAGGAAATCCTTAAGCCATCTTAAGAGAGAGCCGAAAATATTAAGATTTTCTAACTTAAATATCAGTCTATTTGTTGGCACCTTGTCAAATACCTTACCGAAGTCTATGTAAACAACATCAACTGAGTTTCCGTTATCTAGCGCCTTTATCCAATGCTTACATACCATCCAGACTTTTCCGTGACAAGCCAAACAGTACAGCTGGTAACATTATTAGTTTATTCCACACTACCTTGTTATACAATAATCTTCGTCGGTGAGACTATAATTTATGGACGACCCTTGAACGAAGCTAGACTTACCTTGAGAGTGTCCGCCTAATAACTACGACCAAATGAGAGTTATAAATCAGTGTGAGGAATTAAAATTATGATTTGCATTCGATGGTTAAGGTTAGGAAATAGATTTAGGTTTTTCGCTGTCTTCTTTTCTGCATCTAATGTACAATTACTTGACTCTCTTCCCTTTTATAATGTATAATTGGAATAAGAATCCTACTCCTCAGTTACCCAGGATTTTCTTGTTTCAGTTTCAATTCGGGAACGAATATTTAGAGTGCTAAACTAGTTGTTTTACTTACGTTTCACAAATTCTTTTAACAGATGTACAAAGAATCTACACCGGTGATAGATCTCGTCTTCAAACCAGCTGAAAATAAATTTGCAGCTCTTGCAGGCCATGATGCTTTATTACAGTTAAGTGGTTGTTTTAATACCACCGCTACAGCTTTAATGCGATTGTCTAATGATTTTTGTCTGCTCAGTTCGGGACCAAACTGTGGCCTCAGTGAATTTGTTTTACCGGCAAACGAACCTGGATCAAGTATTATGCCAGGCAAGTTAAATACGTTTTCATTGTGATGTCTCTTTTGGCTGATAGTTCAATCACTACTCGATTTCACATAAATTGAGCTGATGGAATCCCTAAAGGTATTTAACTTAGGTTTTGTCTACTGGAACCATGCTACACATACTTAGCGATTAAAACGCCCGACTCATTCAGCAGTGCACAATTCACAACACCAAACTTGCTTCTCTATAAGTAACTGGGTAGTAATACACGCACTCTAACTAAAGTATGACTCAGACTCAATAAAACGACCGCCACAAGACGAATGAATGTATTTGTTGTGCCTTAAACGTGTAACTCGTATCTAACTAACCCTTGGATTTTTAGAGCCTATACATTAAAGTATAACGATTCCACAAGTATTCGGAGTCTGACAACACCCTAATCAGTAACATTTTTACAATCGAAACATGCCAACCCAGTGAAGCCAGAAGCAAAGAGGTTCGAAGATATGTTTAGTAGAATATCGATATATCGAGCGACAATCTTCTATCGAACCTCTACAACCATGACTGATGACAATATGATCTCCTTGAGTCCATCGTTCGTTTGGTGGAGGGGGTCGCCATGTTAAACTATTTCGCTCCTTATGCTTAGAATTAGTGCTTACTAAAAACATGATCGTCTGAGTAGAGTAGCATCAGACTATCACCATTATCTGTTCGCTTAGCCGAAATACTAAAATGCCCTCCTAAATGTCTTTCTGTTTGATTCAAGCTACCTACCTGGGCATTAAAGTCACCTGCAGAAACAACGAAAAGGCAACGATGTGTATCTCTATCATTCCGGGTTCTTACGAAGCTGTTTAGCCGAACGGCGAGGTGTCAGTAGACCTGGGACAGTGGTTTACGCACCAGAATCGTTGGCTATGGTGTTACTTGAGGAGGAAATCGAAAGAGCAAGTTTAGTGTTGGAAGTCAATGTGGGAGGAATAATATGAATTGAAGAGGGATGTTGGTTATGAATACAGTGGTCTCGATCGCTGTTAGAGGTATAATGACGGTTACTACTTCCCGGTCGCTCACACTATGGAAGGGTTCTTCTAGAGGTACCTGAAAAGGAAACTGAGTTAGTGGCGGTGTTAGTGACCTGAAAGGGTGACCGCGATGCTTAAAGGACAACTGCTTGAGGCCGGTTACACACGGCATTTTTGTGAGTAACTTTCCTGTCAGCTCCTTAATTATTGGAACCTTATCGCTGAAGACGGAAATCCGTGGGACAGTGCGAGACGTGAATTTTTAGCGTCGAGCTTTTCTAACTCTTGTGACTTTAAGTTGTGGATGCTTTTTACCCTGTACTTATTGTTGTGTCCTTGACTGAAAAACTAGAGAGCAGCGTATTTATCGACCGATTCAATGACACGTAAACACGTAATGGACGACCTAGAGTTACGATTGGTCCCGATTCCCTGTCTATCCCAGCCAGTTGAGTCCAGAACACAAATCTCAGCCTCTGAGTTATGAATCATTGTATTTCAGACATACTCTATTTATATACTAACCAAACATACCACATCGTACCATAATAATAGAAAACAACATTTTGTACAATATTCAACAAGTGGACAGATATCGACCAGTAGGAAATGTCCATTTAAAGTCAAAGGACACCATTAGACTTAACATGATAATTATTGGTCTATCCTTCGCATCCACAACACCAACCCCACCCCTCTTTGTGGGAAGGCAGCATCTCCGTTATGCTGGTTGTCCGATGGCAGCACCTTATTGCCGTCGCACCTCTGTACAGTCAGCAATATGACTTCGCCCTCAGACCCTGGGTCCGCTGCTTTTAGTCTTACAGTTCTTCAGCCGACCTTTTCGGCATGGTAGGACCTTGAGAAACGATGGTTCCAGCCAGTATTCCTCGATTAGTCCACGATAGGCAAGCCCGACCATCACATCAAGGTAGCAGCAACAGTCGGTTCTCTCGTAACTATCGTAACCAATAGTCAATGACTCTAGGTGACATGGCTCAGAACCGATCACAATGACGTCGGTTAATACACTCTTTGTCTTCCCTTAAACCGTGAAATTAAGATTGCTTTACATCTTTCTTTCTACCAATTAATTCTACCTTCCTGTATTATATCCTTATATGCTATCTTTCTTTTATATACTACCGTTGAAGCAACTGCTACTACGAACTTGGTGATCATCTTGTTGTGTTAATGAGATGTGACAACTTGAACCGATGCATATATGTGCCTGGTCCTGCAATGTTAAATGAGCGAATTTTTTGTCGAATCCTGACAAATAGTCGTGTGAAAGTTACGTGGCCTAAATGAAAAAAAAGAAGCTTACAAATTACTTAGTAATGTTATTGATTACTGATTTTAAATTTTATCAATTTTATTCTGGATTTTATTGTCATTTTGGATGTAAAACAACACCACCGTGCATCTCCAAAATACTGTTCATTGAAAGGTAAAATCAGTACTCATA